CCTACTATCTAACCTTCCCTTTGGCTGTAAATAAATTCCTGTTCCTAATATTGGAACTCAGCCAGGCTTGGTGAGTTTATTTGTCTGGAGCCGAACGCTGTGGGAGACGTCACACTCCCTCTGTCCATTTATTTACACAGTCTGTGGTTTGTACAGATCTAAACTACAGGATTAACAGTTTTTTTATGCAGACTAAAACGGGAGATTTCGTTGTTTGTGGAGTAAATTACGGTACCTCAAAAACTGCAGACTCTGACAAGACGCTCTTCAGTGTCCATTTTCTTCTATTTCGAGTTAATTTAAAAGGTGCACCGTGTACATTTTCCGGTGGAGGCTCCATCAGATGCTTTTCCCCGTGGAGATGTTATTGCTTTGTCTGGAATGTGTCTCAGTGTGGTATTAAACCTTTCTATCATCATGGAGACCGCATCAAACCAAGTTACAGGTCAGATCTGCGGAGAGGCGACACCGCTCACAGTCAGAATGTCTGTTTTTCAAGGTATTTTTGAGCTATAAAACCACCTCTAACTCAATAAATGTAAAGTAGAGCTGTTTAATGTCATACACTGCAAAAACTAAAACCTTGTTAAGTTAATATGACTTGAATTTATCATGATTTGAGTCAATTTCACGTGAACAGTAAAATTATCTGCCAGTGGAATAAGACATTTTGAACTGTAAATATGAAACAAAATCAAAAGTTGCTTAAATTAAGACAAACGCACTCATTCCATTGGCAGATAATTTCACTTGTCAAGTTGAATTGACTCAAATAAAGTAAAATGTTCTTAATTTAAGCTATTTTACCTCACCTAGATATTACTTTTTGAAGTGTACTGTGGAACATTCCAGGCAGAGCAGTGACACATCCATAAAAACAAGCAGGTAGCGGATCAAAAAACAAGAAGTTACACAGAAATGTTGTTGCTTTGTTTGGAATGTGTCACAGTATGGCAATAAACCTCAGCCTGTTTCATCAGATGGTTTCACTTCGTGGAAACTGTCTGACCTCGCAGCGTTAGGATTCGTTCGCTCGACGGTAGGCAGGTACTTTTTTATTTAACCAATCGCTGCTGTTTAGTCGTGATGTATGTAATGCACCAAATCCCGTAGGAAGAAGGACAATAACATCTTTCCCCTTGATAAAATTCACCAAACATTCTCTTTGTTTCAGCTTTAAATCCTCAATCTCGGGAATCGTTGACAACACTGAATGTTTGACTCTTCGCTGATTGGCTGGTGCCCAAACTCGCACTTCCGGGGTTTTTGCGAACTGTCGAGTGTATTCCGATTCCTGACCTAGTCGCTGGATAAAAATGAAATTGAGTGGAGGCACTAGGTGGCGCCAGCCTGGCTAATTAAACCTTTCTATCATCATGGAATCCAAACTAGGCCAAGTTACAGGTCAGATCTGTGGAGAGGCGATTCTGCTCACAGTCAGAACGTCTGTTTTTCTAAGTATTTTTGAGATATAAAGTTATTATTTATTATTAATGATTTATTAGATATAAAACTTGTAATTGAATAACTGTAAAGTAGAGCTGTTTAATGTCACACTGTGGAACATTCCAGGCAGAGCAGTGACAAATCCATAGAAACAAGAAGTTACACAGAAATGTTGTTGCTTTGTCTGGTTTCACAGTATGGTGTTAAACCTTTTTATCTTCATGAAGACCACATCAAAACAAGATACACATCAGATCTGTGGAGAGGCGACCCTGCTAACAGTCAGAACTCTTTTTTATTTTTATTTATTTTTGAGCTATAAAACCACTTGTAATTGAGTAAATGTAAAGTAGAGCTGTTTAATGTCATACTGTGGAACATTCCAGGCAAAGCAACGACATATTCATACAAAACAGGCAGGTGACGGACCAAAAAACAAAAAAAATTACATAGATCTATCTTCATGGAATACAAACTAGACCAAGTTACAGGTCAGATCTGTGGAAAGGCGACACCTCTCAAAGTCAGAACGCTTGTTTTTTTTGAGCTGTAAAATCCACTTGTAATTGAAGAAATGTAAAGTAGAGCTGTTTAATGTCATACTGTGGAACATTCCAGCACAGCAATGGCTTATCCATAGAAACAAGGACAAGGCCTAAAAAACACAAAGTTACACAGTGCACCTCCATGGAAATGTTGTTGCTTTGTCTGGAATGTTCCACAGTATGACATTAAACCTTTCTACCTTTATAGAATCCGAATTAGACCAAGTTACAGGTCAGATCTGTGGAAAGGCGACACCGCTCAAAGTCAGAACGCTTGTTTTTTTGAGCTGTAAAACCACTTGTAATTGAATAAATGTACAGTAGAGCTGTTTAATGTCACACTGTGGAACATTCCAGACAGAGAAATGACAAATCCATAGAAACAAGAAGGTGACAGACCAAAAAAACAAAAAGTTACACAGTGCAACCTCCATGAAAATTATATTGCTTTGTTTGGAAAGTTTCACAGTATGGCATTAAACCTTTTTAACTTTATAGAATCCAAACTAGACCAAGTTACAGGTCAGATCTGTGGAGAGGCGACACCGCTCACAGTCAGAACACCTGTTTTTCTAGGAATTTTGAGCTATAAAACCGCTAGTAATTGAACAAATGTAAAGTAGAGCTGTTTAAAGTCATACTGTGCAACATTTCAAGCAAAGCGACGACATATTCCTTGAAAACAAGTAGGTGATTGACCAACAAACAAGTTACACAAAAATGTTGTTGCTTCATCTAGAATGTTTCACAGAATGGTATTTAAACCCTTCTGTCTTCATGGAATCCAAACTAGACCAAGTTACAGGTCAGATCTGCGGAGAGGCGACGCCGCTCACAGTCAAAACGCCTGTTTTTCTAGAAATTTTGAGCTATAAAACCACCTGTAACTGAATAAATGTACCTTCATGTAACAGATAATACTCCCTACAACCGTACAACTCACTCTTATGTAACAGATAATACTCCCTACAACCGTACAACAACTCACTCTTATGTAACAAATAATACTCCCTACAAACAACAAGCAGCTGATGAACCAAAAAACAAAAAGTTACACAGTGCACCTCCATGGAAATGTTGTTGCTTTGTCTGGAATGTTCCACAGTATGGTATTAAACCTTTCTATCTTTATAGAATCCAAATTAGACCAAGTTACAGGTCAGATCTGTGGAAAGGCGACACCGCTCACAGTCAGAACGCTTGTTTTTTTGAGCTGTAAAACCACTTGTAATTGAATAAATGTACAGTAGAGCTGTTTAATGTCACACTGTGGAACATTCCAGACAGAGAAATGACATATCCATAGAAACAAGAAGGTGACAGACCAAAAAAACAAAAAGTTACACAGTGCAACCTCCATTGAAAATTATATTGCTTTGCTTGGAATGTTTCACAGTATGGCATTAAACCTTTTTAACTTTATAGAATCCAAACTAGACCAAGTTACAGGTCAGATCTGCGGAGAGGCGACGCCGCTCACAGTCAGAACACCTGTTTTTCTAGGAATTTTGAGCTATAAAATCACCTGTAACTGAATAAATGTACCTTCATGTAACAGATAATACTCCCTACAACCGTACAACAACTCACTCTTACGTAACAGATAATACTCCCTACAAACAACAAGCAGCTGATGAACCAAAGAACAAAAAGTTACATCAGTGCACCTCCATGGAAATGTTGTTGCTTTGTCTGGAATGTTTCTTTCCATCTTTATAGAATCCAAACTAGACCAAGTTACAGGTCAGATCTGTGGAGAGGCGACGCCGCTCACAGTCAGAACGCCTGTTTTTCTTGGTATTTTTGAGTTATAAAACCACTTGTAGTTGAGTAAATGTAAAGTAGAGCTGTTTAAAGTCATACTGTGCAACATTTCAAGCAAAGCGACGACATATTCCTTGAAAACAAGTAGGTGATTGACCAACAAACAAGTTACACAGAAATGTTGTTGCTTCATCTAGAATGTTTCACAGAATGGTCTTTAAACCCTTCTGTCTTCAAGGAATCCAAACTAGACCAAGTTACAGGTCAGATCTGCGGAGAGGCGACGCCGCTCACAGTCAGAACACCTGTTTTTCTAGGAATTTTGAGCTATAAAACCACCTGTAACTGAATAAATGTACCCTCATGTAACAGATAATACTCCCTACAACCGTACAACAACTCACTCTTATGTAACAGATAATACTCCCTACAAACAACAAGCAGCTGACGGACCAAAGAACAAAAAGTTACATCGTGCACCTCCATGAAAATATTATTGCTTTGTCTAGAATGTTTCACAGAATGGTATTTAAACCCTTCTGTCTTCATGGAATCTAAACCAGACCAAGTTACAGGTCAGATCTGCGGAGAGGCGACACCGCTCACAGTCAGAATGCCTGTTTTTCTAGGAATTCTGAGCTATAAAACCACTTGTCATCGAATTATACGGTAGAGCTGTATAATGTCACACTGTGGAAACATTAAGTTCCACTAAGAACAGACTGTTTACGATTAAAAGACAAACTGTAGGCTTCTGAACCGTATCTTTAGGTTATATTTAGACTCACAGATTGTAGCCTAGATAAAAACTTACGAGGAATGAATAAGGAGGAGTCACCGACGCAAACGTCACATGACAACACAACACGCGTACTGTTACTGCGAGGCGTCCGTAAAGATTTCTCGATTGCTTTTCATTTATTTATTTCAGAGTCAGAGTCAAGAGTCGTACCCCCGATACCAGAATTTGTTCAATTAAATCACCTTTGAGTCTTAAAAAAGCAAAATTATGACTAGCTTTGGATCTACGTAATAAATATTAGGCTAATTACATGGAAAAATCTGACATAATTACTCAGGATGCCAATCGTTTTCCCAGTAGATTATCGCGTGGCAGGTGCTCCAGTTTACGTATCTCCACTTTTATGTGAGGAGCAGTCCGTTTTCATGCTCGTTTTATGGTGTTATTTATTTATTTAAGGAGGAAAGCCGCTCGTTAATGCGTGTCTAAACAAACCCACGTACCTTTGCGAAGTAATTAAACTTTGTCCATAGCCGTACGTCGCGTGTTTGATTCGTCCGGGATGGCGGGGCGGGGGGGGGATCACGCGAGCGACATGTGCACGCGGACGACGCCGACAACAGGTCTTCGTGCAGCGGATTCCCAAACAACCTGCAACACACCGCTTCTTGTCTTCCTTCCCAGAAATGTCTCCTTGCGCTAAGACGCCAGTGCCATTTACGCACGGGGCGCAACGCGATCCGCAAAAGGTTCAAAGGAAAGCGGGGAAAGTTTTGGAGTGGCGTGCGCTGTTTTGACGGTAAAAACGTAAAAATAAAAAAAAAAGAGAGAGAGAAAACAAGCACGTCGTCTCGTGTGCTCGCTCACGTTCGTTCCTCTCTGCCACTCCTTCGCGTGTGTCTCAACTTGCCAGCGCTTGCCACACGGAGGAAGAGGAACACGGTGCGCGCAGGGGAGGGCAGGCCACTTCTGCAACAGCGGGGAAGAAAGTACGAACAGTTTAATGAGTCACTCCGAGGTGTGTCCCCGGAGCGAAAAAATTAACTGACGTCAAATGAGTGGGCTCGGGCGGGAATTCAGGGAAGCAGCCCGAAGGAGTTTAAAGAGCCATTAAAGCAGCCTCACGAAGCTTTACTCTAAAAAAAAAACCTAAAAAAAAAAAAAAAAAAAAAAATTAAATTAAATACAACAATAAAAAAAAATAATAATAAAATTAATTAGTAATAATAATAATAATAATAATAATAATAATATTACATAGTGTAGTATAATATAATTTAGTACAACAACTCACCCATATGTAACAGATAATACTCCCCTATAACAGATAATACTCCCTACAACTGTGCAACAACTCACCCTTATGTAACAGATAATACTCCCTACAACTGTGCAACAACTCACCCTTATGTAACAGATAATACTCCCTACAACTGTACAACAACTGACTCTTATGTAACAGATAATACTCCCTATAACAGATAATACTCCCTACAACTGTGCAACAACTCGCCCTTATGTAACAGATAATACTCCCTACAACTGCACAACAACTCACCCTTATGTGACAAATAATACTCCCTACAACTGCACAACAACTCACCCTTATGTGACAGATAATACTCCCTACAACTGTACAACAACTCGCCCTTATGTAACAGATAATACTCCCTACAACTGTACAACAACTGACTCTTATGTAACAGATAATACTCCCTATAACAGATAATACTCCCTACAACTGTGCAACAACTTACCCTTATGTAACAGATAATACTCCCTACAACTGCACAACAACTCACCCTTATGTGACAAATAATACTCCCTACAACTGCACAACGACTCACCCTTATGTGACAGATAATACTCCCTACAACTGTACAACAACTCACAGTTATGTAATAGATAATACTCCCTACAACTGTGGCTGCATACACTGGTGTATAAATGTGTGTGTGAATGGATGAGTGGTTTATACAAAATAAAAAAACAAATACAAAATAAAAAATTAAATAAATAATCAATTCCTAAAAAAAATAAAAATAAAACAAATAATCAATTCCCCAAAATAAAAATAAAACAAATAATCAATTCCTAAAATAAAAAATAAAACAAATAATCTATTCCTAAAAATAAAAATAAAACAAATAATCTATTCCTTGCACCAATTATCCAAATATTTTACAGTTTAAATAGCCTACCAAGACAAATAGTGTTTTACGGAAATTGTCTAACTTTAATCCAGCCTGTATTTTGGTATATTTAAAGCTGCACTATGGTACTTTTCTGGTGGCGGGTCTGCTACATGCTTGTCACCACTGAGACACTGTGAAACTTTTCTGGAAAATAGCATCTCCATGGAGTTAAGCTGAAGGCAGACCCCTACCAGAAAAGTTACACAGTGCACCTTTTATCAAATACAACTTCTTATTAAAGGTGTTATTAAAGGTCGCCTCCTCCTTGTCACCATGGAGATGCTTTGCCTATAAGGTCACTCAATAAGGTGCACAACCCCGTGGAGGCGAGCAGGTCATTTGAATTTATTTGTTTGGAGAATAAGCCCCTTGAGATGTCTCACCATCTCATTTTCGAGCGGGTCACAACAACAGACGACAGATACAGTAGGGCAGACAGTAGGCTACATAAATTCAAATAAACATAGAAAAAAACAAAACAACAAAATCAACACAGCGATTCACTCACACAATCACTCACACATGACTTTTAGACACAGAATAAGTCAAATTTTAACAAAAACTAAGACAAAGTTCAAGTATAGTCACAAAATAGTCAACAAGATGATCAAAAACAATTCAATTCAACAAGGTGATGCCAAGTTACAGGTCAGATCTGTGGAGAGGCGACCCCCGCTCACAGTAATGCACGCTTTAGGTAATTCGGTGAACTGAAGTTTAACACCACACTTCGAAACGTTTCAGGAAAATACCGTTGCCATGGTGACAAGCTGGAGGTGGAAGTTTCATAGTTAGGGTGACGATTTTCAGAATTCAAAACTGGGACACACTCGGAGTTGGGATGTTTGGTATAAATAATATAATATAATAAATAAATAATAAAAATTACATTGTGCATTCTTGTGTCAGTCGTGATCTGAGGGGCTTCTGTTTTTTACTTTAAGGTCGTTTGCAAACACAGTTATCTCTATTTCAGCTAAAAAAAAAAAGACAATTTATGCTTCTCTGTATTGCTGTGGGGATCAGATTAGTCTAAAATTGTGATAGTCCTGTTTTAGTCCTGCTTTAGACCTGATATAGTCTAGTATAAGTATAAGACTAAGCCAGTCTTAGTTTTGTCCTGGTTTACAGCTTGTTGAGATCAAAAATAGGGACACCTGGGACATTTCTTGATAAAACTAGGTGAAATCACTGGTTTTGTATAATTCTGCAGGGACAGGGGACACTAAGCTCAAAACTGGGACTGTCCCGGGTAAATACAGACTATTGAGAGTGCATCTTTTATCGAAACTTTGCCAGGTGAGTCCCCCAGGTGGTGCCAAAGAGTTTAGAAACTAATCTAACACATTTGTTTAAGTGACTATTTATTACACTAAACACTGCAAACCACACACGTGTAAGTATTATCTGTTAGATCAATTGCTATTTTTTTTTTTCATATTTAAAAACTATTATTTGGGGTGACCAGATTTTCAAAAAAACAAAACAAAAACAAAAACAACAAAAAAAATCTCTGGTTCGAGTTGGTTGGTAATAATAAAATTGTGAAACGAGTGTTTAATTAAGGAAAATTGTTATGCACTTGGCACTATTGTGAGTCAGTATAGTTGTAGAGTTGTGTTTTGGTCATTTTTAAGCAGCTTTTTTGTATTTTTGCCTAAACAAATGACGATTTCTGCCAATTTTTACTGTTGGCAGGGATCAAATTGGTCAAAAATTAGGGACATTTCTTGTATAAAACTGGGACAAAACTGTTTTTGGGATAAATCTGCTGGGAGAGGGGACACGGGGCTCAAAACTGGGACTGTCCTGTGTAAATAGGGACGTTTAGTCACGCTACAAACAAACAAACAAACAAATAAATAAATAAATAAATAAATAAATAAATAAATAAATAAATAAATAAATTCTGAAAAACGCTCAGGCGCGACGCGAACACCTGCGCCGTGACGTCACCGGGGGGGGGGGTCCTGATTTATTTTGAGAAATCAGCGGATCGGGCAGAATGTGCGCACGCTCCGAAAATCGAGTTTTTATCAAATATCGGGCGATTTTGCGCAGATAAAGCGACGACGCGAGGAAAATAACATCTCGTAGACCGCGATAGCTTCGGGGGAGAGTGAACTGTTGGCCGTGTTTGCTCCCGGAGCGCCTGGATTATCTGAGATTAGCTGACCGGCTAAAAAGCTAACAACAAAAACAGACACCAGCTGATTTAAGACAGGTACTCAAAGTCTGTCCTTTTTATAATTCAGGGATTAAATCTTGTTTGTGCGTTTATAGACTAACAAAAACACGATTACGTTTTAAATATTAATTAAAGATTTAGTCTGTAAAGTGACCAGATTTTCAATGTTCAAAACTGGGACACACCCGGGTTTAGATTTAGACCTCGGACCAGACTGACCAGACGTCTCTGTTGACCCGGGACAGTCCCAGGTTTGAGCTCAGTGTCCCCTGTCCCAGCAGATTTATCCTAAACCAGTGATTTGTCCCAGTTTTATACAAGAAATGTCCCAGGTGTCCCAATTTTGGACCAGTTTGAGCCCTATCAATAGTAAAGAGAGACATACATTGTCATTTGTTTACGTGAAATACAGAAAACCTGCTTCAAAATTACCAAAACATTAAGAAAATATAACTATATTGACCAGATTTTCAATATTCAAAACTGGGACACACCCGGGTTTAGATTTAGACTTGGACCAGACTGACCAGCCGTCTCTGTTGACCCGCGACAGTCCTAGTTTTGAGCCCTATGTCCCCTAACCCAGCAGATTTATCCAAAACCAGTGATTTGTCCCAGTTTTATACAAGAAATGTCCCAGGTGTCCCTATTTTGGGCCAGTTTGAGCCCTATCAACAGTAAAGAGAGACATACATTGTCATTTGTTTAGGTGAAATACAGAAAAGCTGCTTAAAAACGACCAAAACACTAAGAAAATATAACTATATTGACTCACATGTTAGTCATGAATAGGGGTGTGCAAAAATATCAATATCTTGCCAGGTATCAAATACATTAAAATAGGGACGCCAGGGACATTTCTTATGTAAAACTGGGACAAATCAATGGTTTTGGATAAATCCACTGGGACAGGAGACACAGGGCTCAAAACTGGGACTGTTCTGGGTAAATAGGGACGTCTGATCACCCTAGATGGTGGGTATATGTCCATTCTTACCTAATTTGTGGGTCAATCATGATCTGAGGAATTTCTGACGGTGCTTTTTTTTTTTTTAATTGTCATTTTCAAGCTCAAATTTTTTGTTTTTTAATGAAACAAATGACAGTATATTTGCCTCTTTACTTTTGGTGGGTGTCAAAGTGGTCAAAATAGAGACACTTCTTGTTTAAAACTGGGACAAATCAATCGTTTTGGATAAATCTGTTGGAACAGGGGACACAACTGGGACTGTCATGGGTAAATAGGGACGTCTGGTCACCCTAAGTCTGTAGCATTATAAATACAATCTGACATTAAACCACTGCTGTCTTCTAAAATCAAAGGAAAAATGTACTCCAACAGGATCTTTTCTGCATGGAATTAAATACACAGAGTTGTTACCACATTTCTACATTTGATAACCTGTTTATTTAGTTAATTTGTTTAACTGTTCCCCAGAATCATGGCCGAGTCCAGTGACATGATCGAAGTCACAGTGAAGACTCTGGACTCTCAGAGCCGGACCTACAAAGTCCGAGGAGAGGTAATGACACCGTTACTGCGACATACTTAACTAGTGATTTATTGTTTGGTGTTAAATGTGGGTGAAAGTGTTCAAAATAGAATTAGAGAGAGATTTTGTATTGCTGTATTTCTATGTTTTATTTTTACTTGTACATATACCAGCACATTTGTATAATTATGCCTTATTTGACCCCAGTCTACTTTATTATTATCAATTATATCTTTGTTTTTTATTATATTATGTATCTGTGAGTAAAAGTGTCCAAATAATTTCACTTGAGAATCAGTCTGAAGCCCTATTCGCACAGGATTAGTTTTATCTTTGGACTTTTGGTGATTTGTAATAATTGTGAAGGATGCTTGAGATCTTAATCCCACGTCTGTAATTTGTGAAGTAAAAATTCTGCTGCAAATTACCGACTATATTTTGGCCAAACACAGACGTCTGGTGATAATACTAGTCCCCTGCGAATTTGCATCTCAGTGTTTGTTGTTGTAATTGAGCGCCTTTTGTATCTTTTTATTTTCTTTCCGTATTATTTTCTCTTTCAGTCTCAGTGAAATAGACAAATTTAAGGACTTTGCTTATAACACAGACATGGGGCGGTAATTTGCAAATTACCAGGTTGTACTTATCCCGTGTGAATAGGGATAAAATTTAAAATAGAAAAGATTATCATTAAAGAACCGTGCCAGTGATTTTTTGTTTGATCTGATGCAAGAAGATCTAGGCATTATTGCTTTGCCTGGAATGTTCCATGATAGAGCATTGGGATTAGGCTTGCTCGCCACAGATCTGATCTGTAACATTGCGATATCTCATACACTTTTCTCTAAGGGACGAGGCAAACATATTGAAATGTATATATATCGTAGTGTTTAATGTGATGATACAGTACTGATATCGTGGGCTGCTGTATCAATACATGACCAATGAGTATTTTTTGTTATATTTTACTAAATTATTTTGTTACAGCTACAGTTTTGTTGCTTGTTCAGTGGAAGGAAGCTCGTTTATGCAGCACATTCCACATTTTCATTGTTTTCATGGTTAAAATGTTTGTGTTTCATATGAACTTTGCACAAGGGCGCCTTCTTAAGCCTCTAACCCCATCAAAAAACGACTCCAATCGGGTGTCCCAGCACGACTTCAGTAAACTACAAAGCCGCACCACCCGCAGAACATGCAAACACACACGGAGCAGACAGCGACCGCACAGTGAAAAACACCCACAGACACACTCATCACTCCACGCCGACGAGGAACGGAACGGAGGAACGAACCTGAAAAAGCGAGTGCAATGTGCCACTTCTAGACACGACTGAACAACTGAGTCACTGCGAACACGCCGACAATCCGTTGGTCCCAGACAGCACCTCCCTACACGCCACAACTGAACAAAGCCCGGAGTCACCGTGAACGACACAAACAAACAAAACCACTCACCCATCACAGTGTTGTGTTTCCTTTAAAGTCCGGTGCGGTTTATTTGTGAAAAAAGTTTGAAAATAGACCATTTAATGACAGTGCGCCTTATAATCCAGAGCGCCTAATAGCCCGGAAAATACGGTATATATTATTGTCGTTGATTTGTAAATTGTATGTTTTATTTCATGTATTATGTATCATATCGTGGCCTGTGTATCGAGGTGTGTATCGTATCGGCAATTTCTTAATGACACCCAGCTCTACTTGTCTCATGGAAATAGATGATTGAAACGGAGAACATGTTTTTTATTGTTTTTTCATCAAATCATCATGTTTCGACTGCCCTGCTAACAAATACGATGAATTTAAAATATCTCGTTTGTTTGTGTTCTTGCAGCTCACAGTGAGGCAGTTCAAGGAGCACATCACGGCGTCGGTGGAGATCCCGGTCAGTAAACAGAGACTGATCTACCAGGGCCGCGTGCTGCAGGACGAGCGCACTCTGGCCGACTACAGTGAGTAAAGACCTGTCAGACTTTATGACAGGCAGCAGCTGGAACGAACTCAGACTCACATACTGTAATGAGCTACTTTACAGTTTTACGGTCTTACAGTATTACAATAACGAGTTCATAAAGGGATTTGCAGATTGTTATGTTTCCAAAGTGGTGCTAAAAATGAGGAACTGGTGAGGCAGGTGCGCTGAGTCAATAATACAGGAATTCTTTGCTTAATGCCCCACCTGGAAAAATCAAAGCTTGTTTATTTATAGAGCACAGTTCACACATAAGGTCATTCAAAGTGCTTTACAGCGCACAGTACACACTGTTTTTTATAGTTTTCTGCTAAGAATATCGCGGGAGAGGTGATCTTACCTGAATCATTTTATTTAATACAAACAGAATTCATTTGTGACATTTTGGTGGGACCAAGTCTTTGTTTTGCAAGTCTCGAGTAAGTCTCAAGTCTTTGACCTCAAGTCCGAGTCAAGTCCCAAGTCAAATACAGGCAAGTCCAAGTCGAGTCTCGAGTCACTGGCCCATAAGTCCAAATCAAGTCCAAGTTTGAGCTTCAAGTCATTTCAAGTCTTTAAACCAAAGTACCAAATATAACTTCAATTTTGCAGTTTATAACACTTTTAAATTAAATTGTACTTAAAAAAAATCATAGTGTATTTACAGTATATATGAGTATTTAAGAGTTGTAGAAAATTTAATTTAGTGAATTTTTCCTTTTTAAATGTCTTGACAAGATCTTAATGTGAATCATTATGGACAGAATAGAAAGAATTCAAATTTAAAAGTGCTTCTCAAGTCAAAATTTTTAAATTTTGGGTTTAAATCAATAATGGAAGACCGGGACTGAGACCGGGACTGAGACCGGGACTGAGACCGGGACTGAGACCGGGACTGAGACCGGGACTGAGACCGGGACTGAGACCGGGACTGAGACCGGGACTGAGACCGGGACTGAGACCGGGACTGAGACCGGGACTGAGACCGGGACTGAGACCGGTTAAGTCATGGTTCAGTTTTTTAGAGCTGGTTTAGACCTGTTTTAGTCCTGTTTTAGTCCCGGTTTAGTCCCGGTTCAGTCCCGGTTTAGTCCCGGTTCAGTCCCGGTTCAGTCCCGGTTCAGTCCCGGTTCAGTCCTGGTTCAGTCCTGGTTTAGTCCTGTTTTAGTCCTGGTTTATTCTGGCATCGCAGTTTAAGTCACAGAAACGGGAAACGGTCGTTATCCGTTTTTTCAATTTTTCATTTAAACACAAAATTGAAAAATGAAAAAACAAATCATTATCTGTTTTTTCATTTTGGTTTTGGAGACAAATAATGAAGAAAACAGTTTTTTCATTTTTTTTTTTGGTTTTATATAGAAAAAACGAATGAATGAACGATACATGGAGTTTTCTAAAGATGTTAAATTATTTCCTCTTGTCCTGTTTTCTTTCCTCGGCGTCAGATGTGGACGGTAAAGTGATCCACCTGGTCGAACGCGCCCCTCCGCAGACGTCCACACAGCCGGGCCCGGGGGGAGCAGGAGCGACCCCAGGAGGAGGAGCCGAGGCCGGGTCGAGCGGCGGCAGCAGCCACCCCCCCCTCCTCCTCCCAGGGCTCCCCACACGATCGCAACGGAAACAGCTACGTCATGCTGGGGACGTTCAACGTGCCCGTCAACATCATGGATCCTCAACAAATACAGGTGTGAGTCACAGAGGAGGTCAAAACAATCTGTCTGTGCTGAAGGCGATGATATTAAACCACTTTATGACACTGACACTATAACAATAAAGGAGATTAATCCCACTAAACCAGTTTTTAAATATACAGTGTCATACAAACATATATAAACAGGATGAGCTGCAACAGATAAACTGAACCAATAATAAGATAAAAATGAACCAATAATTAACAATAGAAGTTGTTTATTTTACCCTTTAGAGCTCAAACTTAAATTTTCTTACATATGCGCTTTACAGCGCAAATCTAGATTTTCTTGCATAAAAATGGCAAAAATCTTAGCAATTTGCAAAGACATTGTCCATAAGATTAAAACTTTTGCTCAAATGAGCCAATAATTAATTATAGAAGTTATTTTTTTTACCCTTTAGAGCTCAAATTTAAATTTTCTTACATAAAAATGACAAAAATCTCAGCACTTTCGCAAAGAAATTGTTCACAAATTAAAAATTTTGTACAAAATTAACCAGTAATTAACAACAGAAGTTTTTTATTTTATGCTTTACAGCGCAAATCAAAATTTTCTTACATAAAAGGGACAAAAATCTCAGCACTTTTGCAAAGAAATTGTACACAAGATAAAAATTTAGCACAAAATTAACCAATAATTAACAATAGAAGTTATTTATTTTGCCCTTTACAGCGCAAATCTAAATGTTCTTATATAAAAATGACAAAAATCTTAGCATTTCTGCAAAAAAATTGTACACAAGAAAAAACTTAACACAAAATGAAATGATAATTAACAATAGAAGTTATTTATTCTGTCCTCTACAGCGCAAATCTAAATTTTCTTACATAAATGTGACAAAAATCTCAGCTCTTTTGCAAAGAAATTGTACTAAAGATAAAAATTTTGCACAAAACAACCAATAATTAACAATAACAATTAACAATTCTACCATTTAAAGCGCAAATCATAATTTTCCTACATAAAAATGGCAAAAATCTCAGCACTTTTGCAAAGAAATTGTACACAAGATAAATATTGAGCACAAAATTATATTGTTCTAACAGTTCAAGCTAAGCAAACCTGGCTCTAGAAGATGTTAGTTTCTGAATGTAGAGTTGAAAATATTTTATCATGTTTGCAGATGTCCGTTCAGCAGATGATGGCCGGAGTGGGAGAAGCTGGGAGGAATTCCAGAGTCAGCGCTGGGACAGGGGTAACAGCTCCTCTTCCTTCACTATAACATCATAATATTATAATATATGTGTGTATGTGTGGACTGAAATAGGATTGTGTGTTGTATGTTGTGTGTGACCTGTGTGTTTTGTGTGTGTTGTGTGTGTTTTTTTTTTTGCTCAGAGCTCCGGTGCAGTGGACGTGCAGATGAGCCTGGAGCAGACGGCGCACAGCGAGGCCCGGATGAGGCTGCATTTGGCCGAGAACCTGCTCCGAGACGCACGCGCTCTCATCTACAGACTGGAGGTGAGATGATACTCGCTCCCATGGCAACGGAGTGGTCAGATGCTCTTGTGGCTACCTGACTCACACCCTGAGCATCTTTTAAAAGTTTTTGTTTTTCAGACTTAGACTTAGACTTAGACCAACTTTATTGCTCCACAAGGGAAATTATTTTGACGCAGAAGCTCACACATCACAATATAATAATAATAAAGAGCAAAAATATAAATGTCAATAATAAATTCTAGTTACGTAGCAAAAAAAAACGAGCATGACACAAATAAGACATAATTATATAAATGTAAACGTACAAGTAAACATAAAATAGAAAGATAAGCAATAAAATATAAAAATCACAAATAAAAATAAATAGATAAGTATTGTCAAGTCATAGGTTATCTATTAATTAAGGACGGGTTGTTGTACAGTTGTAGGGAGTATTATCTGTTACTTAAGGTTGAGTTGTTGCACAGTTGTAGGGAGTATTATCTGTTACTTAAGGTTGAGTTGTTGCACAGTTGTAGGGAGTATTATCTGTTACTTAATAGTGAGTTGTTGTACAGTTGTAGGGAGTATTATTTTCTACATAAGGGTGACTTGTTGAACAGTTGTAGGGAGTATTATCTGTTACATAAGTTTGAGTTGTTGTACAGTTGTAGGGAGTATTATCTGTTACTTAAGGGTGAGTTGTTGCACAGTTGTAGGGAGTATTATCTGCTACATAAGGGTGAGTTGTTGCACAGTTGTAGGGAGTATTATCTGCTACATAAGGGTGAGTTGTTGCACAGTTGTAGGGAGTATTATCTGCTACATAAGGGTGAGTTGTTGCACAGTTGTAGGGAGTATTATCTGCTAAATAAGGGTGACTTGTTGGACAGTTGTAGGGAGTATTATCTGTTACTTAAAAGTGACTTGTTGGACAGTTGTAGGGAGTATTATCTGTTACTTAAGAGTGGTTGTGGTATGAATGTAGTCCCGTATCTCTCACTATTTGAGCTCAGTTTTAACATCATATCATGTGATTTTAACTTAGAAATACAGAGTGCGCATTTCGAAGATGGTTTGGATTTTGTGAAATGAGCTGTTTGTTTTTCCCGTATGCGTGGAGACTGTAAGAGGCCAGATAAGGCGCTGTGTGTGGCCCTTTCTGATATTACGGTCTTATTGCATCAGATTTAGCAACAAATGTGGCAGAAGACCTTCCAGAAGAAATACTTTTTCATACCATTTCATCACCACGAAACACCAGAGCGGAATAAGAATGAGGCCTTTCCTGTTGTTGTGTTCACCTGGTTCCTCCTGGACACTGCTGTGATACTTTTGGCTCTTCCACAGGATCTGCTGACCCTCCCTGACCAATCAAAACTGCACTGAGACCTTTAATTGAGACACAAAAGCCACTGAGACGCGCAGGGTGAACGTTGCAGCAGTGGCTAAAATTGCAGCTCCCTCTGTCAGAGCAGCAGTTTTGAGTTTAAACTTTGTGGATTATTTTTTCATTTCACTGATTTAAGATCTGATGGTGAAGAGTGAATCAAGTATTACACAAAAACGTCTGGACTCACTGCATTATTAAACACATTTATATTTTTTTTTATGTCCTGACAGTCTTCTTTTGAATTTTTAATGCGTTCAGAAGTTTTTATATATTATCTTGTAGTATAAATTGCTCAATACTTTGCTCGTGTGTTGTTTTACAGGGAGTTTCTGGGGACAGTGGCTCTCACTCGGACTCTGAGGTGTCCCAGTCTTCGTCTTCTCCTGTCCCCTCCACGTCTGCGGAGAGCGGGGCCTCGCAGTCCGCAGAGCCGGGGCCCTCTACTGGAGCCTCGTCCACAGCCACACAAACCCCAGGAGCAGCCAGCACTGGGACTAAGTACGTATCTTTTTTTTCCTCAGTTTGTCTGTTAAAAGTAGAACGTATCCATTTTGTTTTATGTATACCACTGTTTCCCAACCAGCTTTAAAAGAATGGTGGAATTAAATGGGATTTGAAAATAAAATATTCCTTATGTTATTAGGTTCTTTTTTCAGACCAAGAGTTTGTTTTCATACCTGACAGTTTCGTTTGCTCCCTGTGGTCTTCCTCAGAGTCTCGTGATGTTGCTGTGACGTGTCCATTCAGCTGATTTAAACAGGTTTCGGCGCTGTCATCCTACCGGCGGAGGCAGGACGACAGCGCCATCTGCAGTCCGACTTCCTCAGGACAGTAACTCAGGTGTGTGAGAGTAAAAACGCCCCCCGATCCCGGTTTATGGGCACGTTTCCGTATTTCGTGCAGACAACAATGAGAAAAAACAATATCAACACACCAGTGAAACCGTACAGAAAACTCGGACAACTACTCGTCCACCTGAAAGACAAAATAGAACAGGAGCATAAATGTAATGTCGTATGCGAAATATCTGCATGTCTTGCAATAAAACACACATCGGGGAAACAGGGAGGGCGTTCAGTACACGAAAAAAGGAACACAGAACAGAATGCGAGAAGGAAACAGCGAAGGCGAAACTCGAGCAACAAAACACAAAGCAGAACAGGAACAACTCAAATCGGCCATTTGTGACCACTGTAAAAGAAAGAACCACATTATGGACCGGGGCAGAACAAACGTCACTGGGACAGAGAAAAACAAACATTGTCGCTGGGTTAAAGAGGCAATCGAAATAGAGAAACATGCTCACAGGATGATAAACCAGGATGAAGGGGCTTTTTTACTCTCACACACCTGGAATACTGTCCTGAGGAAGTGGGACTGCAGATGGCGCTGTTGTCCTGCCTCCACCGGTAGGAAGACAGCGCCAAAACCTGTTTAAATCAAGTGAACGACACGTCACAGCAACATCACGTGACTCCGAGGAAGAGCACAGGGAGCAGCCGAAACTGTCAGGTATGAAAACAAACTCTTGGTCTGAAAAAAAAAGACCAAATCATTCTTTATTCATTTTCCCTAAAGCTTTTCCTAAAAGTGAGGAATAACTTTGGACCACTGCAAACAGTTTAAAACAAATTAGTTCTGTTTTTATTACAGTAAAAATCCAGTAGAGCACCTTTAACCTGAACCTATCTTATGAATAAATGATTTAATAAGCTACAAGTGAGTAATAACAAATCCAATTCACCCAGTTTGTAGTGTAATGATCTGGTCCTGGTCCTGGTCTGGTCCTGGTCTCACTGGTCTCTTGTCTCTCCTGTCTCTCCTGCTTCTCCTGCTCCTCTGTGTCCAGTCCTCCCAGCCCGGCGGAGTTCATGGAGGTTCTGTCTGAGGTGAGGAGGGTGGAGGAGAGACTGAGGCCCTTCATAGAGAGGACCCACTCCATCCTGGGGGCCGCCACCTCCGCCGACTACAACAACAACGTAAGACACGCTGAGTATATTTTCTGACGATCAAAGACGAAAAAAAAGCGAAAAGTTTGTGCATTAAAGAAGGTTGTGATCTTGTGTCATCGTCAACATTTTGAAAAGCCTGTGAAAGCCAATTGTCTTTACACATTTTTGCATTCACAGTTTACTCCAAATCTGCTCTGAATCTGCTCCAAACCTTCTCTAACTTCTCATTTGTTGCAGACAGAGGAGCGTGAGGAGGACCAGCGTGTTCTGAACCTGGTGGGGGATGCTCTGCGAGTGCTGGGGAACAGTCTGGTGGTTCTGGGGGATCTGCGCTGTAACCTGTGCAGCCGTCCCCCTCGTCCCCTCCACGTGCTCCGCCCCATGGCCCACCTGACCCAGGCCCACCCTGTGCTGCTGCAGGCCGGACTTCCCCACATGCCCATCCCCGTGAGTCTCAGTGGCCACGTTTACATGATGTTTTATAATTAATTCTGAATTATTCTGAATTAAATAGTTCAGATTTAAAATATTCTCCTTTGAGTTTACATGGAAATAATAATGCAGAATTGAGGTTTACATGGAAAACATGTTAAATCGCCTTTATTTAATTCCGCTCAACGTCTGGTTGTGGGGAAGTGTTCTGATTGGACAGAGACACTAACGTATTTACATCTACCAGAAGAAAACACACCCTTCAGCTGTAGGGATGGGCATGATTAGTCGATTAATCAATAATTGATCATTAAGAATTTTGTCGATTATGTTCATTTTTAATCGACAAACCAAATGTAGGTTGCTGTGCGTAGCGTAAGAAGACGAGGCTGCGTCTGACAGTGCAAACATAACACGACATATGCAAAGAATAGACTCACCATTAGCATCAACATCCCTCTGTCACAGAAAGAACATCCATATTCCACTGAGTCATGTCCTTTAGTCCGACAGAAGCTGACGCATCAGCGCATAAGAGCTGTTTTTTTTTTTTCTCTCTCCGCTTAGTTTATGCAAATCAGCCATGTGGTTTTAAGTTTCGTTTCTGTGAGACTTGCACAAAGCTGCATTAAACACATTATAATGTCAAACGGGCTGATGTGGCTCTACAGTGGTTATGGTTTATATGTCGTGAAGTTGAGTTTATTTATGCAGATTAGTAGTGCAGATAGTAATAATAATTATAATAATTTTAATATAAAAATGTTAATGATTAATCGAAAATCAATCGTTAATTCTCCCGATGATCGATTAAGAAAATTTAATCGAATGCCCATCCTTATTCAGCTGTTATCGGTGCTCCAGGCATCAGAAGGGCGACCCAACGAGCATGCCCTGAACGACTGGAATTATTTTTAAGAAGAACATTTACATGATCGAGGAATAAATTACTTCAGCTTTAAAATCGGAATAAACCACCCATGTACTTCAGAGTGTTTAATTCCGAATCATTTTCATTAGGAATTAAGTGTTTACATGATCTTTTATAGTGTAATTATTTTTTATTCAGAATTATGTTATTTTTATTTGGAATTAAATCTCTCATGTAAACGTGACAATTAAGATGTGTATTTTTAGCGCTCACGGTGGCTGAGTGGCTGTCACACTTCACAGCAAGAAGGTTTCGGGATCGATCTCGATTGCCTGGGCCTCTCTGTACAGATAGTGTTTTGGATTTGCTTCAAAGCTCAGCTGAGGTCACATTTTACGCAGTTGCTTTCAGACACCTGTGTTCAATCTCATAGTGTGATAATATAACTAATCTGATGCAGGCTCAGGTCTCTGCTGTGTACATTGTTGATAAAGTGGGCATAAAGTGTTCATCAGACAGTGAGAGGAGGATGTGAGTATTGTGCAAAATCAATTTTGTGGAGCTCTTTACCATGTTATAATGTTGTTCTCTCGTCAAAAACATGTCTGAAGAGGTTTTAGGTGTCATCCATGTATGTTTGAGGATTTTAGCGATCTCTCCCGGGCCCTTTTCAAACCCTCCTTGTGTTTAGCTCCAAAGATTCTGTCCAATGCTCAGCCCAACTTATATCATCTGTGCCGAGATGGAGGAGCCAAGGGACGGGAGACTCAGCTGAAACTTATAGAACATGTTAATACGTTGTTTTAGGTGAATATAGCTTTTTCAAAACAATAAAAGGTAACATGGTGATCTAAATGTGTAATATATTACCAGTTAATACACCATAGAAGTAAAATCATCCTCTTTAAGTAAACACCAATGTCCTGCTCCTCCAGATTAACCTGGGCACCACAGTCACCATGACGTCAAACGGGAGAGACGCCCGTCAGCCCCCGCAAACCTCCGGCCAATCAGAGCAGCCGGCCCCAGGACAAGCCCCGCCCTCCGCCCACAATGGGACCAATCAGCAGCAAGGACAGGGGGGCCCACGGGTGATCCGCATCACCCACCAGACCATGGAGCCCGTGGTCATGATGCAGATGAACATCGATGGTAAGTCTGGATGTCTGGATCTCTTCATACATCCAGGAATGTCAGCTGGTTACCGTATTTTCCGGGCTATTAGACGCGCTCTTAAGCCTCCAACCCCATCACAAAACGACTGTGCGCCCGCAATCCAGAGTCACCAAGAGTATTTTTTGTTATATTTTACTAAATTATTTTGTTACAGCTACAGTTTTGTTGCTTTTTCAGAGGAAGGAATCTTGTTTATTCCACATTTTCACTGTTCTGATGCTTAAAATGTTCGTGTTTCATATGAACTTTGCACAAGAAGTGGTTTAACAAAGACTTTTAGTATCATAGCCACGATTTAGCTGTTATTTTTTATTGAACCATTATTTTTTATTGAACCGCTTCAATTTGAAATATATTGTATTGAAAGATTGATCTGTTCTTAAATCAAGTTTTTAAGTAAAATTACCATATTTTCCGGGCTATTAAACCTCCAACCCCATCAAAAAACGACCACGCGCCCCCAATCCAGAGCGCCCCGTACGCGAATCCACTCAGGTGTCCCAGCACGACTTCAGTAAACTACAAAGCCGCAGACAGGAGCAGACAGCGACCGCACAGAGAAACACACCCACAGACACACTCATCACTCCACGCCGACGAGGAACGGAACGGAGGAATGAACCGAAAAAGCGAGTGCAACGTGCCGCTTCTAGACACGACTGAACAACTGAGTCACTGCGAACACGCCGACAATCCGTTGCCCCCAGACAGCACCCTCCCTACACGCCACAACTGAACAAAGCCCAGAGTCACCGTGAACGCCACAAACAAACAAAACCACTCACCCATTCAACTGTTGTGTTTCATTTAAAGTCCAATGCGGTTTATTTGTGAAAAAAGTTCGAAAATAGACCATTGTGTGTAGACAGTGCGCCTTATAATCCAGAGCGCCCTATAGTGTGGAAAATACGGTAATATGGGATTTAATGGTTTATCACAGAAAAATGTAATTAACACCATAACGCATTAACTCGAATGGGTAAAAATCGCATTTTTCAGAACGCCACATAAACAAAGTTAGTTCCTTTCAAATTTTATTGCAGCAATTTATCCTCAAGAACATCAAGAAAAATCCCGCACACCATTTTACTTGCAATTTGTGAGATTTATTAGGACAAATTGTGCAACGTTTCGACACTAGGCCTTCATCAGGACAACAAATGAGAGCTTATTTATCCTCAAAAGTTGTCAAGTTGACTATTTTCAAATTAAATCAAAATGTTCCAATGAGTCTTGATGGTGGTATTGTGTCTTCAACAGGTGATCCTCCTGGACAAGCCTCTGGTCAGGAGAACACAACAGACTCTGGACAACAAGGTAAGACTTTATATGGACATTAAGATTCTTATGGGTGGTGTTTTTGGTTGAGCTGGTATTTTCAAGTCTTTTGAAACATATTCCTTTTGTTTCTGGTTCTGATATTGTCATATTTTAGTTTTGGGATTCGGACATTGTTAATTGTTTAGTTTGTTGGATCCTAACAGCGGAAAACGGCTCGAGAAATGGGCTTTGGAAGTTTGCGAACTCCATAACTGCAAAAGGGAATCAGATGTGTGTGACTGCAAACCTCCGTTCAAACTGTTTCCCTTCCCAACGAAATTGAAAAATAGTGAAAGGTGAAGGCGATGGGCAGGATTGATCCACAGGAAGGACCAAAAAGGAAACTATCCCGAGTTTGCAGCGAACATTTTGTATGTGGAGCACCATCAAAGCGGGATCCCATTTGTTAAGTGAGAGGTGCAAAAGACAAACAGACTGAGCTTACACTTTTTTGTTTGACTTTACAGCAACATCACGTCTTGGTCGCTTTGCAGTGGAAGGTGTTTCTTGGCAAACACCTGGTGCCTTTTGCTTTGGCGTTGACTTTTTAAATTCGTAACCAAGGTGGAGCGATAGATCGGGATTCTGCTTTGATGGCGCTCCACATACAAAATGTTCACTCGGGATGATTTCTTAGGCAGTCAAAGGTTTCCTTTTTGGTCCTTCCTGTGGATCAATCCTGCCCATCGCCTTCACCTTTCACTATTTTTCAATTCCGTTGGGAAGAGAAACAGTTTGAATGGAGGTTTGCAGTCACACACATCTGATTTCCCTTTAAGAAGTTCACAAACAAATTTCTCGAGCCGTTTTCCGCTGTTAGGACACAGAACAACCACACAATTAACGATGTCCAAATCCCAAAACTAAAATATGACAGTATCAGAACCAGAATCAAAAGTGATATGATTCAAAAGACTTGAAAAGATCAACTTTGACAATAGACGCATCCCACTGGGAAAACAAACATGGTGGGTTGATGCTCACTTTTTCGGAAAATCCTAATGACCGGAAGTCCGAAATTCATGATGCATGTATTGGTGAGTCCAATACTCAAGATTAAACTTACAACTATAGTGATGTGTGTGTAATATAAATCTATAGGGAGTTTAAATGACTATTTTACTGGCAAAAAAACAATACAAACTTTAAACTGACTTTGTTTAAATGTGTAAAGGCACATGTGTCAAAACTCCCACAGTGAATTTTTTACCAACTTCTCTCTCACATATTCTAGTTTTAATGTATCCTTAAATGGCAATAGTCTTCTCTTTTTGTGCTTAAATGTTCTCTGAGAGTATTTTAGCCTTTCTTTTGACTAATGTAACCTCCTTGTTGCTGACTGAGCTGCTGTGTTGTGCAGGGGTCCCTCTGGCTGCGTTCCCAGGCCTCCCTCCTGAGTTCATGCAGGCCATAGTGCATCAGATCTCCCATCAGGCAGCAGCCATGGCCTCTGCAGCGGGTCCCCCCACAGCTGCAGCTCACGGCTCTCCTCCTGCCCAGGCTCGAGTGCTCATCACCAGGCCTGCCTTCTCCCCACGGGGCCCTCCTCCTCCAGGGGCCAGAGGGACGACCATCAACCTGAGGGCCACAGTGCCACCTGCAGGACAGCCAGGACAGGTAAGAAATGTGAAGTTTATTATCAAGATATCAACCAAAAACATGCTGCACAGGTCTCCAGGAAGAACAGATGATCAAGGTCAATTAAATACAATCAATCCATGAACCTGCCCAGGGACGACAGGTGGAAATTTGCACTGGCGCAACAACCTACATCTCTCCTGTTAATGTTCATGTAAATTGTGCACTGTCCCTGTCTCAATAAATAAATAAATAAATAAATGTAACAATCTTCTGACACGATAGGCCTTCCTGATGCATAATAACATTGTGATATGTAATATTTCTGCACTTTTGTGAGTAATTTTACAGTAATTTCTCTTTTGTCTAATACTTAAATCTCAACTAATGCATTTAAAGGTCCTATATTACACAAAATTAACTCTCATGGGCTTTAAACTTTAAGTTAAAGTGTTGTTATCTGATCAAAAACAAACCTGGAGTTGTGTTTTGTTTCATTCACACTTTTGAGCAAATGTTATTATTAGTCTGTCCACATCTTCAAAGCTCAAAATGCTCTGTTTCACCTCATGATTTCATGAAATGGTAGCTTTCAAGTTAACAGCTACCTTTTAACTTTTTGTTCAGTAGAGATGGGATATTCCAGAGCTGAAATTAACCAAATGATTTTAGTGAAGGTGAATGAAGTTTAAAAACACAGTGATGCACTTCTGTTTCTGTTTTCGAGAGAAGAACTCAGCCTAAATATGGAGGTTTTTTGTGTTAATTATGTGTTTAACTCAAATGTAGCATCATGATGAGTTTTCAGAAAGCATATCATAAAGGTAACAGTATAACCCCTTTTGTTCCAGGGTCCTCCAGTTCCTCCTGCAGCTCTCACTCAGATGATCAGTGGTCTGGTGGGGCAGCTGCTCATGCCTGGACCCACAGGTAAGTCCCCTAGTTTGGGAAGAATTACTCAAGATCCTCCCTGTGAGCATATGGATGCAAAGACACTAGAGCTGTAGTCCTTTATTCGTTTAGTCGACTCATCTATCAGCAGGAGATGTCTTTAATCCACCAAGAATTTCTTTAGTCGACTGGAGCCCTACAACAAACTTTCCAACATACCTGAAATATCTGTTTATGTTCCAGATGATCCTGTCCACTCAGAGCCAGCCCCTCCGCCGCCTGCACAGCCCCCCTCTCAGAACAGTGCTGCGTCTGTGGGACAGCCAGCGGGGGGTGCTGCTGATGGCGGCCTGGCCCAGCTCCTGAGCTCTCTGCTGGGAGCAGGAGGGGCTCAGGGGGGGCCTCCTCCTGGAGCTGCTCCATCCATCACTGTGACGCTGCCTGGAACTCCACTGCTCTTCCACTCAGAGGCTGCGGTGAGCATCTTTTTCCTCCATGGATTTGGAAATAAAATGGTTAAAATAAGTCAGATGTGTACTGTCTGCATCAAATTAGAGATTTTAAAGGGACAGTCTGGAATTTTGGACATAGGAGCTCATTTCTTAGTGAGCCAGAGTGTTGAAGATCCAGTCCATCCAGTCCTTGTATTTGCAGAGGTCGCTGGTGCTAGACTAGTGCATGTCAATGGTCATAGTTTTCCTGCCATTAAAAACTGTCTTACCCACTCCACAAAACACCCGAAGAAAATCTATTATTACACCAGACTGTCCATGTGAGTGTCTGTGTTGATAGAAAAATTTTTGAAATAAAACTAACCTTGCATCATATGAATTGTCGCATGTTGAGGGACTATTTTCTCATATATCAGTCCACCGCTGCCGAGCTTTCTGTCAGGAAGTACAACTCACTGCTGCTGCTCAGACATAAATCCTTCAAATGCAAGGTTGGTTTTACTTGTGAAATGATTCTATCAACACAGACATTCACATGGACAGTCTGGTGTAATAATAGATTTGTTTCGGGTGTTTTGTGGAGTGGGTAAGACTGTTTTTAGTGGCAGGATAAACTATGGACATTGACACGCACTAGTCTAGCACCAGCGACCTCTGCAAATACAAGGACTGGATGGAATATTTTAAAAAGTGTCTCCACACGTCTCCAACACTCTGGATCACGAGGAAATGAGGCCCTATGTCCAAAATTCCGGCCTGTCCCTTTAAGAATGTATTATCCAAACATCAGGAAGTGCAGGATTAGCATACTAGTTGTTAATATTATTGTGAGGACAAAACTCTGCTCTGGACCCACTGCCTTACATTCGCTCTCAAACAACATCCCTGCACCAGTGTATTTGTGTGTGAAGTGTTTGATCAAAGACACCATCTGGTTATCTGGATAAAACATATTTGTGTTGTTGTCATAAATCCCAGAGTATCACAGGATCTGAACCAAATCTCCTGTTGTTCAAAATGAATCAGTCTCTGAAATGACTCATTTGCACGAGCACAGATTTAAAACCTTCATAATTTCAGTCATAAATTCTAGTCTTTATTATTTGTATTTTATTGAGTTAAATGTTTCAGTTCAGTCAATTTTTTCAGTTTAAAATCAAAAATAAGAAAATTAAAAAACAACAATTTTATTCATTATTTGTCTCCAAAACCAAAATGAAAAAACAGATAATGATTCATTTTTTCTGTTTTTGATTTTGTGTTTAAATGAACAGTGGAAAAAACGGATAACGGACGTTTCCCGTTTCCGTGACTTAAACTGTGATACCAGGACTGAACCAGGACTGAACCAGGACTGAACCGTTTTTAGGCCTGGTCTGGTCCCAGCCTGGTCCCGTTCTCAGTCCTGGTCTGGTCCCAGTCTGGTCCCGGCCTCAGTCCTGCTCTCAGTCCTGCTCTGGTTCCGGTGAAGTTCTGGTCTCAGTCCTGGTGTGGTCCCTGTCTCAGTCCTGGTTTCAGTCCCGGTCTCAGTCCTGGTCCTGTTCCCAGTCTCAGTCCTGGTCCTGTTCCCAGTCTCAGTCCTAGTCTCAGTCCTGGTCCTGTTCCCAGTCTCAGTCCTAGTCTCAGTCCTGGCCCTGTTCCCAGTCTCAGTCCTAGTCTCAGTCCTAGTCTCAGTCCTAGTCTCAGTCCTAGTCTCAGTCCTAGTCTCAGTCCTAGTCTCAGTCCTGGCCCTGTTCCCAGTCTCAGTCCTAGTCTCAGTCCTGGCCCTGTTCCCAGTCTCAGTCCTAGTCTCAGTCCTGGTCCTGTTCCCAGTCTCAGTCCCGTTCTCAGTCCCGGTCTGATCCCTGTCTCAGTCCTGGTCCTGTTCCCAGTCTCAGTCCCGTTCTCAGTCCTGGTTTGGTCCCTGTCTCAGTTCTGGTCCTGTTCCCAGTCTCAGTCCTAGTCTCAGTCCTAGTCTCAGTTCCAGTCTAAGTCCTGGTCCCAATTCCAGTCTGGTTCCAGTCTGGTCCCGGACCTGGTTCAGTCCTGCTTCAGTCTGACATCACATTTTAAGTCACGAAAACGGGAAACGGCTGTTATCCTTTTTTTTTTTTTTCCATTTTTCATTTAAACACAAAATCGAAAACTGAAAACTCTAATCATTACCTGTTTATTCATTTTGGTTTTGGAGACAAATAATGAAGAAAATAGTAGTTTGTTCATTTTCTTATTTTTAGTTTTATATTGAAAAACGAATGAACGAATGACACACAGATTCTTTTTTCTCGTCCAGCCTCCCCCCAGCGCCCCTGCCCCCCCGGCCCCTCCTCCCTCTGCCCCCCCAGCCCCTCCCTCTGCGGGCAGCGAGGCGGAGGAGGAGTCCCTGAGCCCGGAGCTGTTCTCTGGCATCGTTCAGGGGGTTCTGTCCACCATGATGAGCTCTCTGGCCCCACAGCAGGGCACCACCGGGGAGAGCATCGCCCACTTCATCCAGAGACTCTCCCAGACCAGCAACCTCTTCAGCCTGGGCTCTGGAGAGGCTGGCGGTCCGTAAAAACACTCAGATACACACCTTTACTCACCGACGAACTGATAAAATACCCATCGGACGTCAATATCGTGGGGATTTTTCTCACAGTTTATAATTTGCAACCTTGTGCGTGTGTGTTCAGGTTTCTTCGGCGACCTCCTCTCTCTCCTCTGTCAGAGCTTCTCGATGGTGGACATGGTTCTGCTCCTCCACGGTAACGCCCAGCCCCTGAGCCGCATACAGCCCCAGCTCACGCAGTTCTTCAGCCAGCACTACCTCCAGGGACGAGAGCCCACCCCACGCAACATCCAGGTAACTACGGACCGCGACCAGATCAGGTTCCACAGGTTTTTCCGTCTTGAACACGACATGAGTTTTGAATGAGGATCGGGCAGTTGTTTGCTGGATTCAAGGCAGCTGCGGGGTCTTAAAAGTCTTAAATTATGTTGTCCAAGTCTTATTTTTTTCACAAACGTCTTAAATTTCATTAGCCTATTTTTTTGTAAACTCAACCGGGCTGCAGTGCGATGTTGAACAGAGGAAGGAAAAAAACAATAACGTGAAATCAGGTCATGTGAATGAACGTCTAATTTGGAGTATGTGCAAACAATACTTAGTTTGTCTTGTTAGAAGTGACACATATGAGTATAAATAAAATAAAATAAAATAAAGTTCTGAATGAGATTTTACAATAACAGTATATTTTGTTATTTAAAGCAGTGAGTAATGGTCATTATTAGAACTGGATCTGGTGTTTTTTGCTCGCATAATGAGTGCGATGTTGGCCTTAATTTTCATTTAAATCAGGGGTGTCAAACTCATTTTGGTCCGGAGGCCGTATCCATCCTACTTTGATCCCAAAGTGTCCGGATCAGAAAACTCATGTCATATAAACCCCAAAAATAACAATAAGTTCGAATATTTGTGCTGAGAAACACAAATCTATTACAGAAATCTTTTTAAATTGATGAACTCTTTCTTATTATAATATTATAATATTATGAACAACCTGCAACTTTAAGAAAAATGTAATTTCAACACAATGTTTTACATGAACTTGTATGCAAATAGGAATAAGTCAGTTTTTCTAGGAAAATCCTGCACTCGGCTCCACTTTTCTCATGTTGGACATTTTTCTGATGAGGGTGTCACGGTCAACAGTCAAAACGATCGTCCTTTAAGAGCGTTTGGAAAGAGACAAGTCTTCATTTGTACAGAGACACTGGAGACGCTGCTGTGATAAACGCTGCAGAACATTACAAATATTTTAATATTTTAATAGAAAATATAATTAAAATATTTTAGTAGAAAATCAGCCGAGGGCCAGATTAAAGATCTTGGAGGGCCGGATCTGGCCCCCGGGCCGTATTGATATCTCTGATTTAAATGGCCTTAAAAAGGTCTTAAATTTGGGGTAGTCAAACCTGGGGATGGTCTGTGGATTCTTGCGATGCTTGTGCTGGTGGGACAAGGCCTGGTCGGTGGATGCCGGACCAATCACAGACTGTTTAGTTTGTGAAAAATGTGCAGAGGGAAGTGCTTTGTGGATTTGTGGACAGGGAAGATATCTGCGCTTTTCTCTAAACTGGATTTTTGACCAGTCAGATTCAAATATTCTTCATGATGTTCTTCCTTTTTGTGACCGTTTTCAGAGAGAGCCATCCCAGCTTGATAATGTGTAGAACTTAATTTACACATTAATCTGGTGTGAGCAGGTTAATGATCAATAATTGTGCATGTAAACGCCGTGAGTGCAGCTGTTTGTGTCCTTTGTGTGCAGTCTGCCTCAGAGGAGTTGATCAACAGCCTGGAGCCGCACATCGCTGAGAGCTTTGTAAGTACCGCACGCTCTGACCCCTGACCCCCCTCCCAGCTGTCGTACGTACAGACCACAGAGTGTCCTCATGCTGCCCTAGACGTGTTTACGGAGTCTCTTGTACTGACCACAATGTGAACTGTTCTGCTGTGGATGATGTGTTTACAGAGTCTTGTGTGTGTGTGTACAGGCCGCAGTGACAGTGAGAGACGGAGTGGACATTGTTCAGACAAACTTGTCCTTCTTCAGACAGCAGCTGGCTCAGATGGCCACGCACATCCTCCACTGTAACGGTGAGAGCTGGACACTGTTTGACCCTGTTATAATGCTGCATGATGTGTTTGATTTACGCAGGTGTCAGTAATCTTTAGTCTCTGTGTTACGACCCAGCTCTGCTAGGGACAGGGAAGTCACAAAAATAAAACCAAGATGCAAAATGGAATAAATTAAATAATGTTTAATTAACAGGGGTGTAAAAGGTAAATTAACAAAAGACTAAAATATACAGAAAATAACCTAAACTAAAAAAACAGAACAACAGAATAAAGTGAGTCATAAAAGGAGTCACGCAGGCTTACACAAAACGAGCGGTAAAATTAAGGGACAAACACGAACTAAAACACAAGTTCCCCAAATTAAACCACATAAGCCCACAAACAGAATCGAGTGACCAAATCAAAAAAGGCACAAAACAGAAGTAAACTGAACTACACACAAACACTAAATGGTAGTGATGGGCGAATGGAGCCTCGTGAAGCATTGACACCTCAGTCGCAATATTGTGTCAAATGGTTCGACGTGTCTGAGGCCTCGGAGAAACACTGACCTCTAGTGGACAAATTTAACCATTGACAGGCAGGTGTCTCAGCGTCAATGAAGTATTGTTAGTGTAAGACAATACTTGTGTGCAGAGCGACACCGTACCAACAACAACAATAATAATGATGATTTAAAATAATATGTAAAGAGCAACATAAATAGCTGTAAATAAGAAAATAGGTGTTACCTTGTTAGGTGAATTTAGATCAAAGTGATCCCAAACTAGGGATGGGCATGATTAGTCGATTAATCGATAATTGATCATTAAGAATTTCATCGATTACGTTAATTTTAATCGACAAACCGAATGTAGGTTGCTGTGTGTAGTGTGACCAAACAGGGTCTGTACATGTGTCTCTCTGCATCAGAAGGAGCGAGACACAAACAGAAACATTCGGTCGGTCTGCAACGTACCGAAGCACAAATGCGTATTTAACGATGATTTGTACCAGAAATTCCACGCTTTCCGTAGCGTTTGGGACAAGTGTGAGTCCATGTGCACAGTGTACAAAGCAGCACATATGTTTCGGTGTCCAGTGGGAAAAAGTTTTTCCAGGTGAGAGTCGCTCAATGTCGATGACGAGTCCCCACCTCCCTCCCCCCGTACGGTGTCCTGGTTTTGACAAACGCAAATATGATCACACTAACATGTATTCCACTGAGTCGTGTCTTTTAATCCGACAGAAGTTGACCACATCAGCGAGAGCTGTAGTTTTATCTTCGCTTAGTTTATGCAAATTAGCAATGCGGTTTTAAGTTTCGTTTCTGTGAGAGTTGAACAAAAACTGAATTAAACACATTATAATGTCAAATGGGCTGATGTGGCTCTAGAGTCGTTATGGTTTATATGTCGTAAAGTTGAATTTATTTATGCAGATTAGTAGTGCAGATAGTAATAATAATGATAATCATTTTAATATAATGATTAATCGATAATCGATCGTTAATTCTTCCGACGATCGATTAAGAAAATTTCATCAAATGCCCGTCCCTATCCCAAACCATGGATCGCTTTTTTCCACTTGTAGACGCCATCGAAAATGAAACAAATGCCAAAAGTCGCCAAAAGACGCCGAAAGTCACCACTAACGTCACACAATCCTCCTCACTACCCAACATTTTTAAGAAATATTGATGCATCTTTTATACTGTAGCAGTTTAGCGCTTGTCAAACCACAGAAGTGCGCTGAACACTCTGAACACTCTGAACCAATCTCAGAGCAGAATATTCGCCGAGCCAATGAAACGCTTCGATACACTGAAGCGATCGACACGCAGAGCGAAGCGGTAGGGGGGGAGGGACCCACACTTCCGACACTTTGGTCACGTGAGCGGCCGCTGCGAGACGAGCTCCGAGGCAGTGCTTCGGAGCGATTTGTTTCAGAAAGAACGAGACGTGCTCCGGAGCTCCGACTCATTCGCCCGTCACTACAAAACGGCAGACTGGCCACCAAGCCCAGCGGCCCCGATCAGGCGCAGGCAATCTTCTTAAAGAGGGGGCGGTGGCTGGAGGTGAGGTGGGCGTAGTAGACATGCCCCACCAATCACGAACCAGGGCTCAAACAGCGGGAATCAGGAGAAAATCACACACAACAAATTAGAACTAAGACCTGGGGCCATAACACTGTGTGAAATAGAAATAGAATGTCAAAGCGTGTCGTATTTAACCTGACATTAGAGACATGCGTGTTGTTGTTGTTGTTTTTGTTGTTTGCAGACCCTTCCTTCGGGCCTCGTCTCCTCCTGCTCTGCACTCAGGCTCTGTTTGAGTGTTTGGCTCTGAACCTCTTCTGTCTGAGAGGAGAACAGAGCGCTCTCACGGCCGTCATCAACCACCGCATCGTAAGTTTAAGATGTATTTAAGTATTTAAGATGTCAGGAATCAAAGCGGGCATCATTAAACATTTCTTTTGTTTTACCACTAACATCAGGGCCCGGTATTTCAAATGAATCCAGATCTAAATTATCACGTTTTCCAGATCATATGAAACACAGATTGGTATTTCAAAATTTTGCTGAATTGGATCCAAATCATCCCACAGATTTGGAACAAAAAGTGAAACACGGAGGGGCTGGAAGATTTTTATAGCTAAAGGAAAGCCACAAAGCACTGAGAATAAAACAGGCCAGCTGAGGAATGTTATTTTTACAGCAGTAATAATTGTCCTCTAGTGGTTTGTGTGACATGATTTCAGATGAAACTATGAATCTGATTTGCATCTTAAGTTGTGAAATTTCTGTTTTGAAATACCCAACTTTGGATCAGAATTTGATTATGTTTTTAATATGTTTGAAATATTGGGCCCAGATTATGAATGAGAGGATTTTTTGACTTGATACTTATCACTCTGACAGTCCTGATAGTCAAGTTTATTTTATTTTATTTATTTAATGAGACAGAAACAGTGCACAATAAACAGCTGTAACAGGAGAGATGCATCGTACCATGTTATAACACTAGTGCTCATTTCCACCTATTATCTCTGGGCAGAGTTCATAAACAGTGTTCAGTGTTGGGGAGTAACAGATTACATGTACCGGAGTTACGTAATCAGAGTACAAATTATGAGTAACTGTATTCAGTTACAGTTACTGTTTCAGTGAGTGGTAATTGGATTACAGTTACTTTATTGAAATTTCTTCCTGTTTTCACATTTTGGGCTAAATCTTTTTTTTTTTTTTTTGTAATTCCACTCATTGCCGGAAACTTAAACCAGGTCTAAACCAGGACTAAAACAGATCTAAACCAGGTCTAAACCAGGACTAAAACCAGGTCTAAACTAGGACTAAACAGGTCTAAAACCAGGTCTAAACAGGTCTAAACCAGGTCTAAAACCAGGTCTAAAACCAGGTCTAAACTAGGTCTAAACCAGGCCTAAAACCAGTACTAAACCATCTAAACTAGGTCTAAAACAGGTCTAAAACAGGTCTAAAAACCAGGACTAAACCAGGACTAAACCAGATCTAAACCAGGTCTAAACCAGGACTAAAACCAGGTCTAAACCAGACTAAAGCAGGTTTAAACTAGATCTAAACTAGGTCTAAACCAGGTCTAAACCAGGACTAAAACCAGGTCTAAACTAGATCTAAACTAGGTCTAAACCATGTCTAAACTAGGTCTAAACCAGGCCTAAAACCAGGACTAAAACCAGGTCTAAAATAGGTCTAAAACAGGTCTAAAACAGGTCTAAAAACCAGGACTAAACCAGATCTAAACCAGGACTAAAACCAGGACTAAACCCAGGACTAAAACAAGGTCTAAAACCAGGTCTAAACCAGGACTACCAGGTCTAAAACCAGGACTAAACCAGGATTTAACAGGATTAAATCATGCTGTGTGGACGTGTCTCCTCCTCTTCTATCAATAATATTTTTAATTTGGTTCAGTAAAGTCTGGGCTTTTTATTTCCTTTTATCAGACAAAATATCTTATGTTACGATTTCCTCGTCTTTGCTTCTCTACAGCAAATCAAGTAATCCAAAGTATTCAGATTACGTTACTCACCTTAAATAACTTAATGGATTCCGTTACAAACTAGATTTTTGGGGTATGTAATCTGTAATCTGTAGGGGAATACATTTTAAAAGTCACCTTCCCAACACTGTTCATAAAATCAAACCTTGTACACGCTCTAGTCCCGGGTCTCAGAGTACTTGTGTGTGCACAGAGGAGGATGTCCGCGGAGGTGAACCCCAGCCTGGTCAACTGGCTCACGGGGATGATGTCTGCGCGGCTGCACCTCATCCTGGAGCACAACCCGGTGACGCAGGACCACATCCAGAACTACGTGGTGCACACACAGACACAGGTGAGGAGAGGGCAGCGGGACGGACTTAAAGACAGTATGTTTAGAATGGAAACTAATAATGTTCTTCTGTTGACTGAAGCAGAGGGCAGAGGCAGAGCGGGAGCAGCCACGAGACGCTCATAATCAAGAGGTACGCGCTCTTCTTGTTTGTTTACATGGTGTTTTTTTTAGATTAGTTCTATTATCACTCCTCACATCTTATCTCTCTTTCATTAGGGCTGGACTTTGACTGTAGTAATTTGCCACGTTTACATGAGAGCTTTAATTCTGAATAAAAATAATTTAATTCTGAATAACAATTAAAAGACCCTAATGAAATGATTATTTGGAATTAAACTTAATTCAGAAGTAAGTGGGTGGTTTATTTTGATTTTAAAGTCGAATTAATTAATTTCTCAACCATGTAAACGTTTATTCTTAAAAATAATTCCGGTCATTCAGCACATGCTCGTTGAGTCGCCCTTCTGACGTGATCCAGATGATCCGGCTCCACCAGTCCTGGCTTCAGACTTTCATCCACGTCTCTTTGGATTTGTGAGCGGGATGTGGGAGTGGGCTGAGGTGGAGCAGTCGCTGACTCAGTTTGTCTTCTTCCTCCTTCTCCGACACTCTTCCCTTCTCCTCCTCAGCCGACAGACGTAAAGCGTGATGAGAGAATTCTCCAGCTGCTGCGCAATTATCATCGGAACAACTGCGAAAAAAGTTTGGATCGTGTTTGTGTCCCTGGCGTAACAAACTGAGATGACAGAAAAGCCGGTAGCAGCTGAAGTGTGTGTTTTCTTCTGGTCGACGTAAATACGTTTGTGTCTCTGTCCAATCAGAACCCTTTTTGACCCCCAGACTCGAAGGAAAATATTTAAATTCCAAACTATTTAATTCAGAACGGAATTAAAAACATCATGTAAACGTGGCTAATATAAGATAGACTAGCTACTAAAATCAAAATCAGAATTCAAGTCTTTTACGTTTCTGTCTTCCCTGTTGTTTCTGACCTGTTGTTGTGCAGGAGGAGCGTTTGTCTCCGGCCGCTGCCACCACAGCAGAGGAGGCCATGGCTGCTTCAGGGGACAGGGCTGAGCGGGGCCCTTCAGCTGTGTCCTCAGGGGACATGAGGCCCCACAACCCCCCAACGACCGCCACACCTGCCCCTGCACCTGCCCCTGCCCCCGCGGGACGAGAGGACGGGCCTGCAGAGGCAGAGCCGTGGGCAGCAGCTGTACCTGCGGTAGGAACAGATTACAATAGTTTTAGACAAACGTCCATGTAATCCCTCATTATTTAAGAGTGCTCCATACCAGTGTCCATCAAGAACATATTATACTTTCTTGTGGCTTTAATTCCCTTCCCTAAATATGCTTTTGGTCGCCTTGGAACTAGTATGTCACATTTTCAATCTTAAAATAATGGAAATATATCTTTGGAAAACAAACACACGAGGCATTTAGGCGTTAGAGCTCCCTCTGCTGTTAGGAACGAGAATGAATAATGGGAAAACAAATGAGCTGCTCATCTCCCCTGAAAGCTACTCTAAAATCTAAAATGAGCGTAATATGTGTCATTTAATACCACTGTATAGGATTAAGCTCCTGGGTCTGTGTACAAGTACAAGTATCAGTTTACTTTATCAGTAAAAACAGAATAAAGTTGATCCTTTTCTCTTCTAAGATCAGATCAGACCCACTTGCTCAGAGCAGTGATGGTGTTTGTGTGTCTTGTGTGTGTCTAGTGTGTTTGTGTATTGCTGATGTTGATGTCTTGTGTGTGTGCGTGTGTTGCTGATGTTGCTGATGTTGCTGATGTTGCTGATGATGTTGATGTCTTGTGTCTGTGTGTGCGTTGGTGATGTTGCTGATGTTGTTGATGTCTTGTTTGTGTTTTCAGGAGTGGGTCCCCATCATCAGACACGACATGTTGTCCCAGAGGAAGATGAAGTCGCAGCCTCCTCTGTCCGACGCCTACCTGCACGGGATGCCCGCCAAGAGGAGGAAGGTCTGCACATCTCGACTTCCAAATATGGGCATGAAAGCGTGCTAGTTGAATCAATATGATGAGCAACAAAACCAATATTTATAACTTATTTAATTTTGCTCTGTATCGATTATTATTGGGCGGGAAATCAGTGGTGGAAAGAGCCAAACATCTGCTCTCCTCTTCAGTTCCTGCTCTAGTTCCTCGTTGCGACCGTAGAGTGTACTAGTATTTATAAATGGACACAGCTGACCCTCTTGCTGCAGCGTTCCAAATAGGAAGTGAAAATGGGCGCACTTCTGGCTCCAGTTGACTTTACATTGAAAAATAGTCATCCCTCTCTCTGTAACTGCTGCTGTGAGCCTCGTCATTTTGGTCTTAAAATGTTCGTGTTAACTCACGCTACATGATCCTAGTGTGATTATTTAGCAATTTTGTTTGTAAATCAATTTCTATTCCTATAATTCTTAAACTCAGCTCCAATTCCCCCATAACTGCGGCCTCGTGAGCTTCATTTGAGCCGTACGCTGTGGGTGACGTCTCAGTCTAAATGCCTGCTTCAGTGTAGAGTGAAGTGAGTACAGTGAGCTGTGTGTGTTGCAGACCTCTCAGGGGGAAGGACCCGCCCTCTCTCTGTCAGACGCTGTGAGTCGAGCTGCTCGCACCGTGGGCGTCCTACCAGTGACCACCGCCTCCAGCCTGCAGGGGGAGCTAGAGACACCAGAGCTCCAGGAGGCCTACACCAGACAGGTACCAACCCCCTCACTGACCACATTTACATGATGATTTTTAATTGCGAATGATTGTTCTGAATTAAGTAGTTCGGAATTAATATATTCTCCTTTGAGTTTACATGGACATAATAATTTCAAATTGAGCTTTACATGGGAAACACATTAAACCACCTTTATTTTATTCCGCTCAACCTCTCAGGGTGGGGAAGGCTTCTGATGGGACACAAACACACACTTCAGCTGCGACCGGCTTTTCTGTCATCTCGGTTTGTCGTTACGCCACGGACACAAACACGATCCAAACTATTTCCGCAGTCATTCTGATGATAATTAAGCTGGAGTTCCAATGATAATTAAGCAGCTGGAGAATTCTCACATCACACTTTACGTCTGTGAGCTGAGGAGGAGAAGGGAAGAGTGTCGGAGAAGAGAGGAAGAAGACAAACTGAGTCTGAGGCTGCTCTACCTCAGCCCACTCCCACATCCCGCTCACAATCCAAAGAGACGTGGATGAAAGTCTGAAGCCAGAACTGGTGGAGCCGGATCGTCCGGATCGCGTCAGAAGGGCGACACAATGAGCTGAATGAGCAGAATTATTTTTAAGAATAATAATTACATGAACGAGGATAAAATTAATTCAGTTTTAATATCAGAATAAACCACCCACTTACTTCAGAATTAAGTTCAAGTCAGAATAATACTTTTCATTAGGAATTAAGTGTTTACATGGTCTTTTAAAGCGGAATTCATTTTTATTCAGAATTTAATTATTTTTATTTTGTATTAAAGCTCTCATGTAAACTTTGCAACTGTCAGATGAGTCCAACTTTTGGGTTGTGCTGTCACGATACAAAATTTCAAACTTTATTTTGATACAAAGGAAAAGACTCAATACTCAATACAGATTCTTACACCACACTGATAATAAAACCACTTTATTTAGACAATAGAATGTGATTTTCAACATTAAATCATAGTACTTTCTTTTCTGTTCCCATGTGGTTTTATATCTGTATAATAACGGGCGTATTCTACTTTATGTGCTCTTATACTTGTTCTGATACAGCTCAAGATCATTCTAAAGCTTTATTGCTGTCTTGTCAATGTGACTTTTTTAGTTTTTGATACAAGTTTTAGGATCAATTATTAGTATTTGATTTTCGATTTGTGTTTTTCAGGTGAAGAGGGACATCCAGGAGAGGGTGAGGGACGACCCGGACTACAGCGCTCACAGGTTCCCCCAGACCCACCGGGCCTTCTCCCAGGAGGACTCGTGAGGGCCGGAGACACCTGTCAGTCCCACCTCTCTGCACCTGTCTCGCACCCGTCTGCACCAACCGTACGCATCACCTGTAGCACCGCTCGGGCTCCAGAGCGACCAATCGGACTGTAGCAAACTCCCCGTGTACCCTGACCACGTTTTGGGAACAGACGAAGCAGCGTCCCAGTGTCTGAATGTCTGCAAGTTATTAACCCTTTCACATGTCTTTTTTTTTTCTTCATGTTTTTAATTTTCACATTAAATTAAGATAGACTTTACACAGAGGAGTAAAAACCATGGATCTATAATAAGACCTGGAGAAGTCGAGTTAAAAAAGGTGCATTTTGTGTAACTTTTCTGGTGGAGAGTCAATCAAATGTTTCTGCTTTGTCTGGAATGTTTCACAGTTTCGTATTAAACCTTAAACCAAGTTACAGGTCAGATCTGTGGAGAGGCGACCCCGCTCACAGTCAGAACACCTGTTTTTCGACGTATTTTTGAGACATAAAACCATCTGTAATTGAATACCGTATTTTTCAGACTATAAGGCGCACTGAATTTTAAGGCGCGGTATCGATAATGTTGAATTCTCATCTATTTTCATACATAAGTCACAGTGGATTATAAGGGGCATTAAGAGAAACAAACGGACGACACTTGAGACTGATTTCTTAGTCTAGGCGTCCACGATCCATCGGCAGATCGTGGTGTAATTCGCCCGGCGTTTACTCCCTGTCTTGGGGAATGTTTATTATAAATGTGAATGTGTGTGGATCATTTAAGTTTGTTTTTTTTTATTTCCTATGAGGACTCAAATATACATTGAGTAAAAATGTGTTTAATGCAGCTTTACGCACATTTGTTTATATTTTACAGAAATTAAACTTAAAAACCACATGGCTCATTTGCATAAACTATAAGCTCTGAAAAATACAGCTTGTTTCTTGTGCGCTGATGCAGTTCAGCTTCTGTCGGACTAAAGGACACTGGAATATATGTCTGTTGACTACAGTATATATGCTCTTGACTACAGTAGCCGTACAATAGCCGGCTTCGTAGTTTACCAAAGTCGTACTAAATATTTTAACAGATTTTTGAGAGCCGTGTACCACATAAAATCGGTTTGAGGTCAGTAAGCACAAGCAGAACTAACACATAAGGTGCACCCATGGAGCTATTAAAAGAAATGAAGGGTGTTGTTGCTTGTAGCTGCCTGCAGGTGGTGTAGTGGCCACTCACTGGTACTACAGCGAAAAAAATCCCCTGGGACGAGAAATGATTTTTCTCATAGATTTTTCTCGCAATGTGATCACAAACTGCTCGTGTTTGTCTGACAGGGCACCTACAACTTTAAAAAATGTCGGATTTTATGGGGATTTTTACCTATTTTTATATCATAAACTTCTCTTTCTCAGCTCAAAATCCTTCAGTTGTCTTAAAAAACGCTTTATAATCATTCGCTCCGACTCCGCTGTAGCTCCTCTCGCTCCGATTGGTCGAAGTGATCACGTGATACACAAGACCACACTCCGTCCATGCGCTTTCGTGCATTCGCTGGAGGAAAACACTACTGCACATGCTCAGTCGGCCCACAGCCACCGAAAGTAGCTCGCTGAACTAAAGGCGAATCTGGAGTCATGCGTCGTTGACCTTGACTTGGGCGCATTGGATTATAAGGTGATTTTGAGAACATTTTGAGAACATTTAAGGGTTTTATGTGCGCTTTATAGTCCGAAAAATACGATAAATGTGGAACCTTCCAGGCAGAGCAATGACCTCTCCATAGAAACAAGCAGCTGACGGACCCTCAGCCAAAAAGTTACACAGTGCACCTTTATTATTCAACAGTAAACTCCAATACACAAACCTCCAGACGAGAGTTTGATTAGAAGTCTCTCTGTTCTAGCCCCACAAAGAATTCTACCATAGACTACAATGTAAAATGAACTGCTCATGTTCGGCTTTCACATAGGTCAGATTTTGTATTGACACATTTCTATTTTCATAACTTTTTACATGTTTTTAACCCTGAAATTACCTAAAAGTTGCCATTTCTATCGTCACACAATAGGTGGCGCTGTCTTTGATTCATGTTCTAGATCTTATTATGTTTCTGTGGATCAAACACGCCAAACAGATCTGCTCAGATGCCCTTCCTAGACTAGAGTCGGGAAACGCAACAGCCAGCACCTTGAGAGAGAATCGAACCGACAACCCTCTCCACACAGGCTGAAAAAAAAAAGTTAATGTTTCATCTAAAATCTGAAGTTTTTCACGTCACATTTTCGTTTAAAAATAAAAAAAAATAAAAAAATCTATCTGATGGAGAACCTTAGAGCTGTTGTGATATATATTTCATTTTTAGCAATATCGATTATTGCATCACCGATACTTTTACGATATCTTGTGCAGCCCTAATGCCAAACACTACGAAGCATTTTATTTGTTTGTTCCTTTAGTTTAGAGTTTAATTTAACTTTTGATACTTTGCAGCTGATGTCCTCAACATTCCCTGGGGGTGTGATGATTTTAATTTGTCATTTTTATTTTTATTTGATTCTCAGTTTTATTTGAACATGATCTGACCAGAAAAAACAGACTTAGCTGGAAGTGACAATTCTAGGGTGACCCACATTTTCAGAATTCGAAACTGGGACGTACACGCGTTGGGATGTTTGGTGTAAATAAGATCGTGAAGAGAAAGTGAATCCGTGTATCGTTGGTTCATTCGTTTTTCAATATAAAATCAAAAATAAGAAAATGAAAAAACAACTATTTTCTTCATTATTTGTCTCCAAAACCAAAATGGAAAAACAATTTGTTTTTTCAGTTTTTGATTTTGTGTTTAAATGAAAAATGGAAAAAACTGATAACCAAAACTGCAATGTTGGACTTTTGTGCCGCATACGGACGGAACCAGGACAGAACCAGGACGGAACCAGGACAGAACCAGGACGGAACCAGGACTGAACCAGGACTGAACCAGGACTGAACCAGGACGGAACCAGGACGGAACCAGGACGGAACCAGGACTGAACCAGGACTGAACCAGGACTGAACCAGGACTGAACCAGGACGGAACAACCAGGACGGAACCAGGACGGAACCAGGACTGAACCAGGACTGAACCAGGACTGAACCAGGATGGAACCAGGACGGAACCAGAACGGAACAACCAGGACTGAAGCAGGACTGAAGCAGGACTGAACCAGGACGGAACCAGGACGGAACCAGGACGGAACCAGGACTGAACCAGGACTGAACCAGGACTGAACCAGGACTGAACCAGGACGGAACCAGGACGGAACCAGGACGGAACCAGGACGGAACCAGGACTGAACCAGGACTGAACCAGGACGGAACCAGGATGGAACCAGGACGGAACCAGAACGGAACAACCAGGACTGAAGCAGGACTGAAGCAGGACTGAAGCAGGACTGAAGCAGGACTGAACCAGGACGGAACCAGGACTGAACCAGGACGGAACCAGGACGGAACAACCAGGACTGAACCAGGACTGAACCAGGACGGAACCAGGACTGAACCAGGACTGAAACAGGTCTGGACTGAGTGTGGGGACTTTCGGGTTATCAGGACAGACTTGAGACCGTTTTAGTCCTGGTTTCAGGTGTCGGGTCTCTGTCACTGTCGGGTGATCAGGATTGAGACCAGGACTGACCAGAACCGGTTTAGTCCTGAGACCGGTTTAGTCCTGATTTAGACCTGGTTCAATTCTGGTTTAGACCTGGTTCAGTCCTGGTTCAGTCCTGGTATAGACCTGGTTTAGCCCCGGTTTCAGTCCTGGTCGCAGTCCTGGTCTCAGTTCCGCTCTGGTCCTGGTCTCAATCCCTGTTTCAGTCCTTGTCCCGGTCTGGTCCTGGTCTCAGTCCTGATTACCCGACAGTATATGCAGGCGCAACTCCGGGGCCCGTCCCAACACTCAGTCCTGTTTTAATCCTGTTTTAGTCCTAGTTTAGTCTTGTTTAATTCTGGTTTATGCGGCGCAAAAGTCCGGCATCACGGCATTAAGTCACAAAAACAGAAAAAAACAAATCTTTATCTGTTTTTTCATTTTGGTTTTGGAGCCAAATAATGAAGAAATAGTTGTTTTTTCATTTTCTTATTTTGAAAAACAAATGAACGAATGATACACTTGATTGTAAAACACCCCCAGCGCGATGTCACTCCAAAATATCTATAACAATTCCCATTTTGACAACTGGCTGTGCTTTTTTTTTTTCCATTTTATACATGTTTTATACTTTTCCACTGCTCCGTCTGTGCTCGCAATCATATTTCTAACTATTTTTGATGAGAAATTGTCCAATACGTAAAGCAGGAATGTCTAGAAATATTATAAAAGTATTACAATATTTTTAGTAATATATTTTTCTTTGATTACAGAGCTAAAATGTTATTCGTGCGCTCCTGTATTTTAATTTCTGGTAATGGTTTTTGGTTGAATCGTTGCTTTTACGGACCTGAGTAATTTGTATTGTACCATGTGTATATAATAATAATAATAATAATAATGATAATAATAATAATAATAAGTGTATTTTGTACATAGATGTAAAATGAAAACTGGAGTAGCTGCTGTGACCCGACACCTGTCAATCATCATCATTCCTCATTTTCTGTTCACTTTTTTGGAAAATTATGAATATTTTTGTAGTTTTGGAGAAGCAGACGGGAACAAAAACGAATTACATACCCCAAAATGTAGTTTGTAACGGAATCCATTAAATTACTTAAAGTGAGTAATGTAATCTGAATACTTTGGATTACTTGATTTGCTGTAGAGAAGCAAAGACGAGGAAATCTTCACATAAGAAGTTTTGTCTGATAAAAGAAAATAAAAAAGCCCAGACTTTACTGAACCAAATTAAAAATATTGTTGATAGAAGAAGAGGAGACATGTCCACACAGCATGATTTAGTCCTGTTACATCCTGTTTTAGACCTGGTTTAGTCCTAGTTTAGTCCTGGTTTAGACCTGGTTTAGACCTGGTTTAGACTTGATTTAGACCTGGTTTTATCCTGGTTTAGACCTGGTTTAGTCCTGGTTTAGTCCTGGTTTAGACCTGGTTTAGTCCTGGTTTAGACCTGGTTTAGACTTGGTTTAGTCCTGGTTTAGACCTGGTTTAGTCCTGGTTTAGACCTGGTTTAGACCTGGTTTAGACCTGGTTTGGACATGGTTTGGACCTGGTTTAGACTTGGTTTAGTCCTGGTTTAGACCTGGTTTTATCCTGGTTTAGTCCTGGTTTAGTCCTATTTTCATCCTGCTTTAGTCCTGGTTTAGTCCTGGTTTAGTCCTGGTTTAGACCTGGTTTTATCCTGGTTTAGTCCTGGTTTAGTCCTATTTTCATCCTGCTTTAGTCCTGGTTTAGTCCTGGTTTAGTCCTGGTTTGGACCTGGTTTAGACTTGGTTTAGTCCTGGTTTAGACCTGGTTTGGACCTGGTTTGGACCTGGTTTAGACTTGGTTTAGACTTGGTTTAGTCCTGGTTTAGACCTGGTTTAGTCCTGGTTTAGACCTGGTTTAGTCCTATTTTCATCCTGCTTTAGTCCTGGTTTAGTCCTGGTTTAGTCCTGGTTCAGTCCTGCTTTAGTCCTGGTTTAGTCCTATTTTCATCCTGCTTTAGTCCTGGTTTAGTCCTGGTTCAGTCCTGGTTCAGTCCTGGTTTAGTCCTGGTTCAGTCCTGGTTTAGTCCTGGTTTAGTCCTGGTTCAGTCCTGGTTTAGTCCTGGTTCAGTCCTGGTTCAGTCCTGGTTTAGTCCTGGTTTAGCTTGAATGAAATTTTACACCATATTTGTAAAAATCGTCGGTTTTATTCAGACTTACTTCATCTCGTCAACTTGAGTCGACTTTGGCGCTGAGAGAATTAAACCTCACAAGAGTCAGTTTTGTGTAAAAACGTGAAATCCTAATGATCCTAATCAGACTACGATAATCTGATTTCCCGTCTCCTCCTCCTCTTCTCTCTTTTAATATTGTTACTGTAGTCGAAGTATACCTCATAGTTTTTACAATATACTGTACATTTCAATGCATTTCCCATGTTCAGATCCTACTGTACTGAAATAAACGGAAACGACCTCTCAAACCAAACAAATGCTGTTTAAATATTCTTTATTATGAGTTTTAAATAAGACAAACTGTTATGATTTGAAGTTTCACACAGCTGGAAGTCACACGTGAGCAGGCAGAGCGTTCGTCACAGCCAGTTATGAAAATTATACCACATTTTTCTTCACTAAAAACTAAAATCTAGGCAAGTTAAAACGACTGGAATTAAGAAAGTTTATCATGATTTGAGTAAATTTCACAATGATCTACCAACGGAGCAAGACTTTTTGTATTTAAATAATGAAACTGGGCCCGGTCAAGCAGAAGTAAACAGAAAGGCCAAAAATCCAAGTTAATGCATCTGATATAAAAATGTATTGAACAGATACATATGTACTCTAGTTTATGAAAGTGTTGACCTTTTTTCTGGTTCTAAAGTTCCATACGTTTTAAACAGACCATGTATGAAACATGGAACAAAAATTATTTCCCAAATTTCAAAGACCCAAAAATCATGTAAATAAATGGATGTATTTCATCATATCTTGTGTTATTCCATCTTTGAACTGTTGATGAAGGTACAAGATTTAAAAAAAAAAAAAATTTAAAATGATAAAAATTTGCTTGGAAGGACTGACATATTTTATAGAAATAGTTTCCTTTCATTTTGAAGTAATATTAAAGTATTGAGAAGAAAAAAGTGACAAATGATGTAAAATCCTGCACCTTCTACTTGTTTGAACAATTTTCCCTCTGTTACTTTTCCCTCCGTTACCATGACCTTTCTTAATAAAAAATCTCATGAGTCAAAAAGTAAGAGGTTTTTCAACCTAATCTTGTACCATATGGTAGAAAACTATATGAAGCAAATATTCAAACCAGTTTGTTAAGGATATGTAAGTGAGAACCAAGAGTTTTCACTGTTTGGATTTATTGCCCAAAAAGTGCTGCATATTTCATTCCCTCCGTTACCGACATGAATTTTTTAATTTTTTGTCAACAACTTGAAAGAATATCACAGGTTTAACTTGACCCTGTTGGAGTGTAACTCTTTCCTACATTCTGATACTTTACTTATTTCAATAGTCCCTCTAGTTTCTGAATAAGAGACATTTGAATGTCAAAAATCTGCCCCTGTTTCCCTCCATTACCACTTGACTGGACCCAACTACATCTTGCTGCACTTAAAATAAAAATTTAATGTTACTTGAATTAAGAAAAACTCACTTATTCCATTGGTAGATCATTTTACTTAAGTTGAATTGACTCAAATACAGTAAAATGTTCTTAATTTAAGTAATTTTAATTTACTTAGATATTGTTTTTTGCAGAGCACACCCTCTCGTTCAATGCTTTTAAATAAAAAAAAAATATTTTTTACATTTTATTTACATACAGAAGAGACCAAATATATGGATTTAGTCAAGAAAAAATATATATAAATAGTGATAAATAAATTTGCCATCCTTTTGCTTTATAGTTATTTAAAGGTGCACTATATATGTCACTTTTTGGCTGGGCGTCCATCACCTGCTTGTTTCCATGGAGACGTCATCGCTCTGTCTGGAATGTTCCACAGTATGACTTTAAACAGCTCTATATTTTCAATTCAATTCCAGGTGGTTTTACAGCACAAAAATACCTAAAAAAAAACAAAAAACAAAAAACAGGCATTCTGAGTGTGAGCAGCATCGCCTCTCCACAGATCTGACCTGTAACTTGGTTTAGTTTGGTTTCCATGAAGATAAAAAGGTTTAAAGCCATAGTGTGCGACATTCCAGACAAAGCATTAACATTTGACGGAGCCTCCACCTGACAAGTTTCTTCATATATTTTATGTCTTCTGTGTGTGTCTAAAATGTAGAAAGTGGTGAGAAAAAAAATAATAATAATAACTTAAATGAGAGGGTGAGTCCAAACTTTTCACTGGTGTGTATTTCACAAGCAAATATATGATAGAAATAAATCTGCTTTTTATAAACAGGTCAGGAATACACTCATGTCCACTACACGAACAGGACAGTTTATAATCATTTTACTTTCAAATGTTTATGATTTTATGAAGCAACAAAACCGTGTCTGGATGATGTGAATTCTCAGTGAGAGCGTTTACATGAGCATCAGTGTCCCGGTTCTGACAGTGTTCTGGTTTTGGCGTTTACCTGCGCTCAGAGAAACACGAGGAATCTGAGTATCCTGGATATTTAGATTTGGTTGCTATGGTAACGGATATGGCAAGGAGCTAAACGTGTAGAAACTTTGCAAACTTGACGCTTTTTTAACAACAACAAAGAAGACGAACGTTCAAGTAAGAGCATGAGACTGTGGAGCTCTGTCCCAACGTCAGTAAAAGTCAATTTAACAGTTGAAAAATATAGGGGTGTGCAAAAATATCGGAATATCGATATATCGTATCGTTTAATGTGATGATACAGTATCGATATCGTGGGCTATTGTATCGATATATCAGCAAGAGTATTTTTACGTGTGTTTTACTAAATTATTTTGTTACAGCTACAGTTTTGTGGCTTGTGGAGTGAAAGGAAACTCATTTATGCGACACGTTTGACATTTTCACTGTTTTGACGATTAAAATGTTTGTGTTTCATATGAACTTTGCACAAGAAGTGGTTTAACAAAGACTTTTAGTATCACAGCCACGATTTAGACTTTATTTTTTATCAAATCGATTTGAAATATATCATATCAAATCGAAAGTGCACTGTATCGAGGTATGTATCGTATCGTGGCCTGTGTATCGAGGTATGTATCGTATCGTGGCTGTATCGAGGTATGTATCGTATCGTGGCCTATGTATCGAGGTGTGTATCGTATCGGCAACTTTTTAATGATACCCAGCTCTAGAAAAATATAACAAAATACAAAATCTCACAGCGTCAGTTTAGCTCAAAACCAACACAAACCAGCACAGAGATGAGCCTGCTGTTAAAATGTGGTTGCATTAAACAGTAGACTAGAGCTGGGATCATTAAGAAGATAGTAGCCGATACGATACGATACATACGATACATAACGATACGATACATACATACGATACCACGATACGATACATACCTCGATACGTAGGCACAATACGATACATACCTCGGTACAGTGCACTTTCGATTTCAATATGATATATTTCAAATCGATTCGATACGGTTCAATAAAATAATAAAGTCTAAATCGTGGCTATGATACTAAAAGTCTTTGTTAAACCACTTCTTGTGCAAAGTTCATATGAAACACAAACATTTTAATCCTCAAAACAGTGAAAATGTCAAACGTGTCGCATAAATGAGTTTCCTTTCACTCCACAAGCCACAAAACTGTAGCTGTAACAAAATAATTTAGTAAAACACACGTAAAAATACTCTTGCTGATATATCGCTACAATAGCCCACGATATCGATACTGTATCATCACATTAAACGATACGATATATTGATATTCCGATATTTTTGCACACCCCTAGTTTCCACAGTCATGGAAGTCCTGGAAAAGTCATGGAAATTGAAAATGTCATTTTCCAAGCCTAGAAAAATCATGGAATTTTGTAAATTCTATGAAAGTCTCTTTCCAGAGATTGAGACTTGCGAGTCGTGACTTGGACTCGAGTCAGATCTGAGTCACATTTTTTAGGACTTGAGACTTGACTTGATAAAATGGAATAAGACTTGGGACTCGACTCGGACTTGAGGCCTGTGACTTGAAAAGATTTGAGAAGCACTTTTAAATGTGAATTCTTTCTGTTCTGCCTGTAATGATTCACACTCAGATCTTATCAAAACATTTAAAAAGAAAAATTAACTAAATCAATTTCTACAAATTTTCTAGACGTTTCTATAAATACTCATATATAAATATACTATGACTTGGAAAGTACAATTTATCAGAAAATTCATATAAATTGCAAAAATCTAAGCTTTATTTGGTACTTTGGTTTGGACTTTTTGGACTTGAGATGACTTGAAGCTCAAAGCAGACGACTTGGACTTGACTTGGACTTATGTACCAGTGACTCGAGACTGGACTTGGACTCGCCTGTATTTGACTTGGGACTTGACTTGGACTTGAGGTCAAAAACTTGAGACTTACTTGAAACTTGCAAAACAACGACTTGGTCCCACCTCTGTGTCTTTCACACAACTCCATCGTTCTGTTAAATTCTCATTTGATTATTATGATTATTTCTGAACGTCTGCGCCTTTTGTTTAAAAAAGACGACAATAAACGCACTGACAGGATTTTGAACGTTAAAAAAAACTATAATCTCAAACCATAAGGTGAGTGAAAAGGATTAACATTTCATATTTAGCCCTAAAAGTTTGATCAATTTTACACATGTAGGTGCTGTAAAGTCATGGAAAATTCACTTTAGGTCATGGAAAAGTTTTCAGATTTTGTCAGTGAAAAAGAGTGGAAACTCTGTTATAAGTATAAAATATTATTATTTTAAAAGTCCTGGTTGGAGTTTGAGGTGTTTCGGTAAAATATCTGTTCCTATTGTTTTTGTTTCTTGAGTTCGCACATGCTCAGTACACAGTGTTGGGGAGTAACAGATTACATGTACCAGAGTTATGTAATCAGAGTACAAATTATGAGTAACTGTATTCAGTTACAGTTACTGTTTCAGTGAAAGGTAATTGGATTACAGTTACTTGGTTGAAATAAATGGATTACACAGAGGTATTTTCCTGTTTTTACATTTCAGAGTATTCCTTTTTTTTTTTTTTTCAGTAATTCCACTCATTGCCGGACATTAAATCAGGTCTAAAACCAGGTCTAAACCTGATCTAAAACCAGGTCTAAACTAGGTCTAAACCAGGACTAAATCAGGACTAAACAGGACTAAAACAGGTCTAAACCAGGACTAAATCAGGACTAAACCAGGACTAAACCAGGACTAAACCAGGTCTAAACCAGGTCTAAAACCAGGCCCAAACCAGGCCCAAACCTTGTCTAAAACCAGGTCTAAACTAGGTCTAAACCAGGACTAAACCAGGACTAAATCAGGACTAAACCAGGACTA